CTCCCTTCTTCCCTTCCTTTCTTCCTTCTTTCTTGATGTTCTCGTTTTACTATTTACTAGTTGCCCAGGGACACCTACACCCCTTCCTGGTCTTTGTTCCACTGGTTTGTTTGCCAAACCTCTACCAGTGCCCCACTGGCCCCTGTATTACTTGGCTCTGGAGTGGGTCTTTTTCCCCCAGCTGCTGGAGACGGAACCAGGCCTTGTGCATGTGGGGCAGGCATTCCACCATTGAGCCATGTCCCCAACGCCCCTAGCTCAAGAGTGGGCTTGATGGTTAACGGAAAAACTCTCTCATTATTGTCTTTCAAAATGTTCTTGCCTAGTCAACATTTTCTTGTACAGGTAGAAATGATTTTATTGATTTATTTAATGTTTTCTTTTTTTTTTTGGTTGTACTGGGGTTTGAACTCAGGGCCTAATGCTTGCTAAGCAGGCACTCTATCACCTGAGCCCCTCTGCTGGCCCTGTGTTTTTTTTGTTTTTTTGGTGGGTTCGAACTCAGGGCTTTCCACTTGCAAGGCAGACACTCTACCACTTGAGCCATACCTTCAGGCCATTTTGCTCTGGTTATTTTGGAGATGGGGTCTTAAGAACTATTTGCCATTGTTGGCCTTGAACTGCAGTCCTCCTGATCTCAGCCTCCCAAGTAGCTAGGATTACAGGGGGTAAGCCACCACCGGTGCCCAGCTTTTTTATGTTTTTTTGAGACAGGGTCTCGCTATGTAGCCCAGGCTGGCCTGAATCTTAGAGTACTTCAGCCTTCTGAGTGCTGAGATTATAGGCATGTACCACCACACTCAGCAGTTTTACTTTTTTAAGTTTCTTTTTTATCAGGTACACATACCGATAGGCCAGGATCTGAACACTTCAGCCAGTGGCTCAAATCTGGTCCATTGCCTATTTTTGTTTTAATAAAGATTAACTGAAACACAGTTGGGCTCATTTATTTATATATGGTCAGTGACTGCAGAATTGAGTAGATGTGCAGAGTCCATAGGACCTGGAAAGCCTGAAAGCAAGGCTTACTGCAGGAGCATTTGATCCAAGCAGTATCACAAGGACCTGGAGCCCTACAAGGACTTGTCAGGCCTACACTTGGTTACATCTCTTTTGTATTCTTGATACTTTTTGAGCAAGTTGCTCATGTTTTCACTTTTGCTCTGGGCCCTGCAAATTATGTAGCTAGTCTTGTGTAAAACATTTACTATCTCTCTTTCCCTTTAGAGATGATCTCCTGGGTTAAAGTCAACCAATTCACAAGAACTTTTGGGACTATTAGAAGTCCCAGCCCTCTCCAGTCCCCAAACACAATGACTTTGAACTGTTTAGGCAATTATTTTGGGATTGACCTCTGTATTTCCAAATAACAATACTTATACTGCCAGTTCTTGGGAAGTAGCATTACCTCTGATTGAGCTGTCATCCTACTGCCAAAGCGAATGTCACCTGTCATTCTTCCATGTTGTCAATTTGAGAACTTCTAGCCATATGGCTATGAATGCTAGGAGAGTTGAGCCTTGAAATAAACATGAATCATTTTTCCCTCTGCACTCTTTTAGTTTTCCCTGGAGTAACACGTGGTCATGGCTTTTTCCTTTGCTTGGTTTTCTTGTCTTTGTCACACATTTGACCCCAACCTCTCAGCCACTCATCCACAGCTGTTCTCAACGTTCATTCACGTCAGGTGTTTGAGTGTGAGATCTCGGTGCTGCTTCTCCAGAGCTCCTAGGAGTGTTACAATCTGCCCTGTTACCCTGTCCCATAACCTGCCATTGTCCTGAGGTCCCTCTGCCACAATCCCAGGAGCTCCCTTCACCCTGATTCTGTGTGGGAACCTGAATCCTGAGCCCACACTTTCCTTTTTCTTGGTTTTCTCTCTAGCTTCGATGGAGCACCGCTTGTGGCACAATGGAACTCGGTCCTGGGCTGTGCGGTGGAAAGACCTAGAGAGTTCTAGAATGCTGATGCTCAGGCCCCGCAGGGAGTCTTCTTTAACTTATGGGGTGGGACCCAGAGACTCATTGTTGTTATTAGGATTTTGCTGCTGCTGGGGGATTGAACCCAGGGCTAAGCTCTACCACTGAGCTACACCCTCAATCCGAGGCTTGTTTAGTTGTTTGTTCATTTGTTTGCTCATTCCTTTGTTTGTTTGCTTATTTATTTATTTTGGGGGTACAGGGATTGAACTCAGGACTTCATGCTTGCTAGGCAAGCACTCTACCACTGAAGCCATGCCCCCAGCTCACTTTTTTGCTTTGGTTTCTTTTTCAGATAGGGTCTCGAGCTTTTGCCCATGCTGGCCTTGCACCTCAATTCTCCTGCTATGTCAGCCTCTAGAGTAGCTGGGATTACAGGAGACTCTTATTTTTAAAGAGTCACAGGATGGTTCTGATGTTCAGGCAAGATTTGGTGCCACCTTGTTTTTGTGGCTCCCTGACAAGAGGTACATAGGAGGTAAATGCTTTGAAACCTGGCATTTTGGTTGTTGCTTTGTTTTTAGTGGTTCTGCAGTTTGAATTCAGGGCCTCACTTGCTAGGCAGGTGTTCTACCACCTGAGCCCCTCCTCCAGCCCTTTTTGCTTTAGTATTTTATTATTATTTCTTTTTTGGTGGGACTGGGGTTTGAACTTAGGGCTTCATGCTTGCAAAGTATGTGGTCTACTGCTTGAGCCATGCCTCCAGTCCATTTTGCTCTGATTATTTTGGAGACAGGGGTCTCATGAACTGTTTGCCCAGACTGGCCTCGAATTGCAATCCTCCAGATCTCAGCCTCTCAAATATCTGAAAAATAGAATTATGGAAGTGAGCCATGGCACCTGGCTGCTTTAGTTATTTTTAGATGGAGTCCTGAGCATTCCCCACTCACTGTCCCAGGCTGCCCTGGGATCAGGATCCTCCTACCTCCACCTCCTGAGTAGCTGGGGCCATAAGCATTTGCCACAGGCATCCACCTGAGTAACTGGGATTACAAATGTCCCATTACTTTCTTTGTTTTTGGTTTTGATGTTTTTGAGATGGGGTTTCACTATGTTGCTCAGACTGGCCTTGAACTCCTGAGCTCAAGCCATCCTCCCACCTCAGCCTCCTGAATAGCTGGTACTACAGATGTGCACCACCACTCCTAGCTGAAATCTGACATGTTTGAAAATGTCGTTATTCTGCACACCTCACTGTGATTGGTGGTAGGCTGGGATAGGATTGTAGGTTGGAAATTATTTCCCTTCAATATTTGTGGTTTAGTTTCCAGTATTGCTGTTAGAGTTTCAAGGCCATTCCAATTACTGATCACTGTCTCTATGTTTCCCTCCTTGTTTTCTCTCTCTCTCTCTCTCTCTCTCTCTCTCAATTTCCATCTTATTGCAGGTAATTAGTGGGCCCTTTGTTTCTGGAAAGTCAAGTCCTTCAGCTCTGGAATGTTTGATTTTTCTTCATCAATGACTTCCTCCCTTTGTTCTCTCTTTCTAGAACTCCTATCTTTGGATGCTGGATTTCCAGGATTGGTGTTCTATTTTTATTCTCCCAGCAATGTTTCATCTATTTGCTGTTCTTTTAGGGAAGTTTCTTTAATGTTACCCTTTAACATTGTAATCACATTTCTTTTTTATTTCTCATGTTAAATTTTCAATTTTCAAGAGATCTTTTTGTTCTCTGAATGTGTTCCCCTCCCTTCTTCCATCCTCCTAAAGCCTTTTTTTCATAACTTCCTTTAGTTTTTTTGTGGTACTGGGGTTTGAACTCAGGGCCTCATACTTGTTAGACAGGCACTCTACCACTTGAGCCACACCGCCAAGACCTTTTGATTTGGTCATTTTTGAGACAGGGTCTCACTTATGCCTGGACTGAGATCCTCCTATTTGCGCTTCCCTAAGTAGCTGGGGATGACAGGCGCACACCACTGTGCCCAGCCATTAGTTGAGATGGGAGGACTCAAACTTTTTCCTAGTGTGGACACCAACCATAATCCTCCCGATCTCAGTCTCCCAAGGACCTAGGATTACAGGTGTGAGCCATGGTACCAAGGTGCTTCCTTTTCTTGTTTCTTGGATGCGGTAACTTCCCTCATCAATTTGGGAATATTAGTGCACATTTTTGGGAGTTCTCTTTTCCCTGCATAGTCTTGGTTTTTTCCAAGTTGGCAATTTTTTTTTAACTCATTTGACCATTTTGACTTCCATGTGCTTTTTGGCTTATTTTTCCTCTCAGTGCTTAGGACTGAACTGAGGGCCTCACGCATGCTAACATGTGCTCTATCACTGAGCTGCACTCCAGCCCACCTGTGTCTTTCGTTAACAGGGACTTTTCTTAGGGATGATGCTCAGATGTCTGCTCACTGACTCATAGGTGGGCTTGGAAGCTGAGGTGTCTGGACATGGCTTTCTGAGCTGCTGGGTTATGGGATGCTCTGGGGGAGGACTGCTCACTTGGGGGCTCCCCTGATGTCAGCATTTTTGGATCTCTTCCTCTGGGTTAGATAATTTTCCTGCAAAGCTTTTCCAGTATGCTTCCCAGAGGGCACAAGCTGCCTGATCTGGGAGCCAAGTGAGAAAGCAGGCTGGGGGTCTCAGACTCACATGGATGTGGTCACACTCAATGCCCCTCACTTACTTCTTCCTCCATCTTCCCCAAAGTTCTCTTTCTCTCTCTCCCTGTCTCTCTCTCAATACTTAAACTCGGGGTTCTGGACTTGCTAGTCAAGCTCTCTACCACTTGAGCCTTGCCTCCAGCCCTTTTTACTATTACTGTTTTGGAGAGAGGGTCTCACTTTTTGCCCAGACCGTCCCGGACTGCCATCCTTTTATTTTACACATGCTGCCATAGCTGGGATGACAGGTATGAACCACCATGCCCAGCTTTTTTCAATTGAGATGAGTTCTTACAAACTTTTTTGCCTAGATTGGCCTGGAACCAAGATCCTCCCAATCTCAGCCTTCTAAGTAGCTAGTATTATAGGTGTGAGCCACAGGTACTAGTCCAGCAGTATCTTTGATGGTGCCTGCTGGCCCAATGACCTCAGGAAATGGTCCAGCTCCTTCGCTGGCACCACACTTCTGTAGCTCCTTACCTGTCTCACTTCCCTCTGCAGCCACTTCCTGCCCCACAGCTCTGTCCTGGCTTCTGCTACCTTGTCTGACTCTCTATTTAAGACACAGAGAACCTCTGCAGGTGTTGGCCCCATCACCCCTTCTGAGGTTGCCTGGTCTCCTGCAGGCCTGCTGGGCAGAGGCCTTTTCCAGAGAGGAGGTTGATCTGCCCAGCTGCCCTCCTTCTCCAATAATAACCACTGGAAAGCTCACGTCCATCATGCCCTAATGGGCACAGCCAGGGAGCAGAAGCCCTTGCTGTGGCAGCATCCCTGGTGAGATGTGAGTAGAATTGGGCAGCTTCCAGGGAAGTTGGGGGTGGGACATGGAGCATCATTCCCGGAGCACTTGTCTGGGGCCAGGCACTTGGCATTTACCACCCACTTAGAGGAGAGTGTTACCAGCTTCATTGTTTAGGTGGGGAAATGGAAACTCCCTAAGTGCCTTGCACAAATTCATACCACCACAATGTGGGAAGTATTGGAACCCAGGAATCTCCTTCCCCAGCTGCCCTGTGCTGCCTCCTTGGCACCAGGGAACAGTGAGAGTCCTTCTGGCTCTGGTACAATTTTGCTTTGTGATACTTGGGGACTCCTCAGCCTTTCCTGTGCTGGCTTTAGGAAGGCAGTGGAGCAGGTGCCCTTGCGGAGAGATTGCTCTGGAGCCCAGGATGAGTAGTACAGAGTCCTCTCTTCTCAGGCTAATGGATTCCAGAATCCCAGCACTGAGTAGGGCAGGGGGCAAGGTGTGGTGCCCTGCCTCCTGCACCCACAAGTCCCATAGACTTCCAGGAAGGGATACTGAGGGACCCCAGGCATGGCTTAGCAGCTTTCTCTTCTGGCTTATTTTCCAGTAACTGGTGCCCTTACCAGAAGTCCAGGCTGGTCACCTTTGTCGCCGCTTGCAAAACAGAGAAATTCCTCATCCACTCGCAGCAGCCATGCCCACAGGAGGATCCGGACTGCCAGAGAGTCAAAGTCATGTGAGTGGGGAGGGAGAGCCATTTGCCCAGGCCCTGCAGGCTCACCCCAGAGTCACTGAGCAGCCCTCCTCCCCCAGGTATCGGGTGGCCCAAAAGCCAGTGTACCAAGTCAAGCAGAAAGTACTGCTCACCGTGGCCTGGAGGTGCTGCCCCGGCTTCAAGGGCCCCAACTGCCAGAACCATGGTAGGACTCCCTGCAACCTCCTCCCCCTTGTCCACTGACTTGGTGGTCATGCTGTCCCTCGGACCTCCAGGGTCAACATCTGATGCTTCTTTCTGCAGATCCCACAGCAACATTCGAGCCTTCAGAGCCAGGTGATGGCCTCCAGGAGTCTTGGGTCCAGCTGGGCAGCTATGCACATGGTGTGTTCTTTTTCTGGAAGGTGCTGCAGGGGCACAGGTCATGTGCTTAGCCCTCTCTTCTGTGATAGGCAGAGCCATTTCAGGAGAACCTTTGCCCCTACAATCAGCAGGGGCCCCTGCTCTCCTGACTCCACAGGGGGCCAGGGTCCAGGACCCCTCAGCTGCCGGCCTAGGGCCGAGCACACAGCCCTTTCTCTTGACCCCATCTTCTGTGAAGGACAGCTTCATCTGGCACCTTCCTTGACCCCAGACCCACACAAGCTCCCAGACCTGGAAGAAGCCTTCCCACCCTCTCCCATAATCCTCAGCAGGGCCAAGAAGTCATGATATCCCTGATCTTGGAGTCATCACAGGAGACACCAACTGCGAGATCTGTCAAGGTTGGGTCCACGGGTGGGATGGGGAATGAGTTCCGTCTTGTGATGAACTATCCAGTGACAAGGGCTGCCAGGAATGACATTGTGACTGAGGAAGGAAATGTGCATGGTCAAGTAGTCATGTCTGCTGCGGGTATGGGAGGGAGAGTGAGAGCATGGAGGCCATGCTTGTGCCCTTCTGGGACTAAGGCTTCAAATTTCCAGCTCAGAGGGTGCCTCGGTGTACCTCTCAGTCCCCAGATCTTCTCTGAATGTCACTATGTGCCGGGGCCTGGTGCATTGGCCTTCAACACCTATGTCTGGTGTGTCTTCAGGCCACCCTGCTGCAGAGCTCAGTGAGGTGGAGGAGCAGCAGGAAAGGCAGAAGCGCCTCCTGAGAGAACTCCAGAATGACCAGGAAGCAGGCAGCCTCCCAGCTGTGACAACAGAGGTGAATCAAACAGCGCTTGGTGAGTAGCAGGCTCAGACGGCAGAGGCCCTGCTATCCCTGCCTGGGGTAGCGAGTCTGTGGCTGTGGCTTGTGTGAACATGGGTATCTGTTGTAGGGCTTTCTGGCAGGTCTTTGGAGCACATGCTACTGCCCCACGTGGACACCTTCCTTCAAGCACACTTCAGCCCCATCTGGAAGAGCTTCAACGAGAGCCTGCACAGCCTCTCCCAGGCTGTAAGAAACCTGTCGCTTGATGTGGAGGCCAATCGACAAGCCATCAGGAGGGTCCAGGAGGACAGGGTGGCCAGGGCTGACTTCCAGGAGTTTGGAGCCAAGTTTGAGGCCAAGGTCCAGGAGAACAGCCAGAGAGTAGGCCAGCTGCAGCAGGATGTGCAGGAGCGCCTGCACACCCAGCACCGTGCCCTGAACCGCTGGCTCTCTGAGGTCCAGGCAGATGTGGACAGCAAGTTAAAGCAGCTGCTCAATGGCAGCCTGGTAGTGGGATCTGTAGGGGCGGCAGCAAGGCCAGAGCCGGAGAGCCTGCAAGCCAGGCTGGGTCAGCTGCAGAGAAACCTCTCGGAACTGCATGTGGCTGCCAGCCTCAGGGAGGAGGAGTTGCAGAGCACCCTGGAGAACTTGCAGGCCACCGTGGCCCAGCACATGGAAGAAATTAAGGAGCTGTACTCTGAATCGGATGAGACCTTCGCTCTGATCAGCAAGGTGGAGGGGCAGGTGGGGGAGCTGCAGGTGAACCACACTGAGCTGCGCGAGCTGCGGGTGATCCTGATGGAGAAGTCTCTGATCATGGAGGAAAACAAGGAGGAGATGGAGCGGCAGTTCCTGGAGCTCAACCTCACCCTCCAGCACCTGCAGGACAGCCAAGCCGACCTCATCAAATATGTCAAGGACTGCAACTGCCAGAAGCTCTCCTTTGACCTGGATGTGATTCGGGAGGACCAGAAGGACACCACCCGCGCCTTGGAGGAGACCCAGGTGAGCCTGGATGAACAGCGCCAGCTGAACGACTCCTCCCTACAGGCCCTGAGAATTGCGGTGGACGCCATGTCGCAGACAGTGGACACACACAAAAAGGAAGGCGAGGTGGCACGGGCCGACAGGTCCCGGCTCCGGACCAAGCTCTGGGCGCTGGACCGCGACGTGAAAACGCTGAAGGCGGCAGCCAGGGACACCGTCCGCGAGGTCCGCGGGCTGCACAGCTCCTTCGCCGCGCTGCTGGAGGACGCGCTGCGGCACCAGGCCGTGCTGGCTGCGCTCTTTGGGGAGGAGGTGATGGAGGAGATGTCCCAAGAGGAGCCCGGGCCTCTGTCCCTGAGTTACGAGCAGATCCGCGTCGCCCTGCAGGACGCCGCCAGCGGGCTGAAGGAGCAGGCGATCGGCTGGATTGAGCTGGCCACCAGGGTGACGGCCCTGGAGCAGGCCGCGAAGTCCCCAAGGCCAGAAGAGCGCCCGGAGCTCAGCCACGACGTGGGGCAGGAGGAGACGGGAGCCATGGCCCTGGCAGAGCTGAAGCAGGAGCTCCAGAATCTGAGCTCCAAAGTGAAGCGCCTCGGGCAGTGCTTCCAGGCCTCCTGGGCCACATCCCTCAATGGCTCCCTCCAGGACCTCCAGAACACCCTCTCCACCACAGAGCACGACCTGGAGGAGCACCAGCGGCTCTTCCACAGCCTCTTTGGGAACATCCAAGGGCTGGTGGCATCCAACGTCAGCCTAGACTTGGGCAAGCTGCAGGCCATGCTGAACAGGAAAGGGAAGAAGCTGCAGAAAGGCGAGAAAGCAAGGGTCAAGAAGCTAGTGGAGCCTTTGGTGGAGAGGCGTGCCAAAGGGCTGGAGCAAGGTGCCATGGAAGCAGAGCCTTTGGAGGCAGGTGAGTGGCTGGGCAGGGGAGCCTGGCGAATCTAGTAGGAAGACAGGGCTGTCTGCCCTCCATTAGGGAAGGATGCAAAAGAACATGACAGTAATTGGTCACTACTACTCAGGGACCATTTCCCTGGACCCACCTTCTTTTCAGGACTATGGCCTGTTAGGCTACCTGTAGTACAGATGGGGAGGTAGAAGTTACAAGAATCAACTGTAGTGCCAGAGCCCATGAGCTGGCAGAACCTCCTTTATGATAGCGGACTCTATACACACTGCTGTCTGCCTGCTGCCCTAACTGCAGAACAGAGGGGGAACTCCTCCCTGCAGGCACTCCCCCCCCAAGCCCTCATCTCAGCTCTTCTCCACACCCCCTCACCCCATGTATCTAACTAGCTCACCTCTGTACTCTGGAGAGTGTGAATGGGGCTGAGGTCACCTGAAATGGCACTGCCCCACACAGGGAATGACCTTGGGCCCCAAAGGACTCATTCTTTCTGCAAATACACTTGGCCCATCCTGCTGCTCTGCCTTGGGTCCCCTGCAGTGCCACTCCTGGGCTTTATCATGAAGAATCATCTCAGCCCCTCAGTTCATTCATTATCAATACCATCTTTCCCTGAACTGAGGCTCAAACCCAGGAAGTGACCTGCTGACCCAGCTAGCAAGCACCGCAGAGTTGCTGTCAGTATAGCACTGGCTGTTCGCTTCAGCGAGGCCATCAGTGGCTGGTCCCTGCAGGGCCCCACACCCCAGGCCTGGATGCTGGCTCTGTGGTTGTGACCAGCCCTCCCAGCCCTTCTCTTAGTGTGGTTCTGTGCCCTCCTGTTTCCCAGGAAGGCACAGAAAGTGCCTTCCCAGTGGGTCTCCCAGTGGGCTGAAACCACTTTCACACTCAGATGCAGAGCTAAGTACAAGGCTGCCAGTGGGAAGTCTGAGTCTTGCTGAAGACCCCACTTCACCCCTCCCTGCCAGGCCCACGAGGCATCGTGGAACATTGGAAAGAGCATAGGTGCTGCCCTCACTTGTCTCTTCCCATAAAACATAGGACATGGAAGGGTTATAAATGCTGAACTTTATTTTCCAAACATCTGACATAGGCTTGGCACCTGTAGGAACCCAATTCTTCCTATTTCCTCTGCATTTTCAGAGCTGAGGCTGTGTGCACTTACACCAACTCTTCCATCTCTTTCCATTTTGTGAGTGGTGCAAAGCCTCAATCGGCTGATGAATTTCAGAATTTACTTGATGGTTTAGACATCTAGTTACCATTGCAATATTTTGATAAATATAGATAGAGATAGATATAGTTGTTTCTTTTTCAGTACTGGGGCTTGAACTCAAGGCCTCATGCTTGCTGGCAGGTATTCTACCACTTGAGTCACTTCACCAGCCTGTTTCTGTGTTGGATATTTTCAAGATAGGGTTTTGAAATAGCAAACTAGTTGCCTCGACTGGCTTCAAACTGTGATACTCCTGATTTCTGCCTCGAGTAACTAAGATTACAGGCGTGAGCCACCGATGCCCAGCCAAAAAACATTTTTCCTTTAAAAATTTCCCATTTGTCTTGCGGGAAGACTGTAGGGCTTGAATTTATGCCCTGCAGAGCGCGCATCCTCAGTTTGCACAATCCTTCCACCTTCTAAAGTGCAAGTTCTTATTCAGCTCATTGGGCTGGTGAGGTGTCTTTCCTCTAAGGCAAACTCCCAGGCGAAGGCCGGGTGGAGGGATGACCAACCACCAGCAGAGGGCGCGAGAACATGGCCTTCCTTCAGCTGGGCGGGAGCCCCACCTGCTGGGTGCTACGGGAACTGCATCGTCAGCACTCAGCCTTTGCCTGTCAGGAACAAAATCTTCCAGAACTAGAGAGAAGAGAAATGTTGGCATTCTCAACGCTATTTCTGGACTGCGATCCTAAGAGCTTGGCTCTAGTTCTGGGTCCTAAGTGACTAACTGGTATAAGAACTCCTCCTTGAGGCCTTGGTCCCATCCCCTGAGAAACCCAGAGTTTAATCTGAAGTCTCCTCCCTCTCCTTCCTCCCCTACAGAAAGGGGATATGACCTTGATGATGCCAGGGTCAGTGTCAGGACTGGAACTCAAGTGAGACTTTTTCCCCCACAATTTGTGGCCCTGTCTGCCCGGCCCCCCGCCGGCTCCTTCCTGGCAGTACACAGCTTCCTCTGCCTCCATGCCTGCGTGGACTATCTATCCTCCTAAGGCAGAGGAAGTGTTTGTGAAAGTGGGAAGGGCCAGAAGAGCATCCCAAATTAAGAGGTCCAAGGTGTGCTCCTTATAATTTGTTGGCTTTGTGGTCTACAGCAATAAGCCATCCCTTTCTGGGCCTCAGTTTACTCCAAATGTAATCCCAGGGCTTTGTGCAACATTTGGAAGTCACATTAAGACCAGCTGGAGGGTTTTTCTTCCTTTTCTTTTTTTCTTTCTCTTCTTCTTCATTCTCTCTCTCTCTCTCCTTTCTTCTTTTTAGGCAGGGTCTCACTATGTAGCTCAGCCTGGCCTCAAACTCATGATAGTCCTGCCTCAGCCTCCTGAGTGGTATGGTTACAGGCATGTACCACCCACCCAGCTTAGAGGGGGCTTTTCTGTGCTTCTTTCTCTAAGGTTCTGTGCCCACATCATAGGAACCACCATCAATGCTCCTCTCCTATTTCCCAGGGTGAGCATTATCACCTGAGCGTAAGTGACACTCCTTCCCCAGGGGAGTCTCAGGATTGTTAGGGGTATGGTCTGGGAATGTGACTCAGTGGCAGAGGGCTTCCCTCACATACCTGAGGCCCTGGTTTCGATCCCCAGCACTGAAAAAAGATCCCTAGCAGGCAGCAGATACCTAGGAGGTGGAGATCTGGGTGGCTGCCATTTGTAGCCAAGGACATTTTTCTCTTGAGAAAATCTTGAGAAAAGAGATCAAAGGAGAAAGTGTTTTGTTGACCACAGATTGGAATCTCCCCCTCTGCCACTCTCTGGGTAGCACTGCTATTGGGAATATTTAGTTGACCTAAAACTAGTGTCCTATTTTTAATGCCAATAAGGTGAGGAAGGAATTTAATTTCCCACTCAAGGGAGTACATGCCCAACTCAATGAGTGCTTTCTTCCTGCATTTCAGCTTCTCCTGTGGCCTTCTATGCCAGCTTTTCAGAAGGGACAGCTGCCCTGCAGACAGTGAGGTTCAACACCACATCCATCAACATTGGGGGCAGTTACTTCCCTGAACACGGCTACTTCCAAGCCCCTAAACGCGGTGTCTACTTATTTGCAGTAAGCATTGAATTTGGGCCTGGCCTAGGCACAGGGCAGCTGGTGTTTGGAGGTCACCATCGAACCCCAGTCTACAGCACAGACCAGAAGGATGGGAGCACAGCCACTACCTTTGCTATGGCTGAGCTGCAAAAGGGTGAGAGAGTATGGTTTGAGTTGACCCAGGGGTCAGTGACAAAGAGAAGCCTGCCTGGCACTGCATTTGGGGGCTTCCTGCTGTTCGAGACCTGAACCCTAGGCCCAGTTTGTCAGCCATCATGGACTCACCTGCTCTCCTTGAACTGGGGCTCTGGCCAGTGATGGCTTGGAGATCACCCAGTTGGTCTAGCTCTTTCATGGAAACCTTCTGCAAAGATGATGTGGTGTACAGTATGTGCCTCCTCCAGGGTACTCCATGAGGAGACTGGAATACTGCTGTCTGAGCTGGTCCTGGCCTTGGAAGTGGAATTCATTTCGCTCCGAATGCCTTCCTCTCCACCCCCCTGGACTGGACTCATTGCCACACTCTGAATTCTACAACCTCTTCAGTGTTTCATTCCTCCTGTGGTTGAAACTTCTGTACAATATTTAATTTTTTTTTGCTTCCTCTTCTCCCTAAACATATTCTAGAAGGAATGATTAAAATGGAGGTGATGGGCCAGGTGGACCCCAGTGGGTAGCAGAGCACTCATCTAGCATGCCTGAGGCCGTGGGTTCCATCGCTGGAGGTGACATTTAAGCCAAAACTAGAAAGCAGTCTCTGACCATCATAGGGCAGTGAGATGAAAGCAACCCTCTTGGTCTTTACCAGTCAGACATGGAGCAAAGGCCTAGCTGAATCAACCAAGGGAAACAGTATATCTTTTTAAGTTTCAGTCATTCCTTGTCTTCATCTGAATCTATAATTTTAATCTCATGTCTTTTTCTCTTCGCCTTGTTCAGGGTAAGGGCCAAGACATGGCAAACAGGGATGACGATGTGTGACACCTCCATGTTTTTCACTGACTCCAGTATCTTTCTTTTTGGAAGTACTGGGGTTTGAACTCAGAGCCTCATGCTGGCTAGGCAGATGTTCTACCACTTAAGCCACATTCCCAGCCCTTCCTCCAGTGTCTTATAAGTGATCTAATTCTTGTTAGCATCTCTAACCAGGGAAGAAGTGAAGAAATACTGTAAACATCTCTCGCCACAGTGATCAGCTTTGGAATAAAGCAACACCCATTGAATCTCTGCCTTGTTTACTTATGGAGAGCAAAAACATTGAAAAAGTACATAGAAATAAGGGACAAAATGCAACTTTGGGATAAATGTGACTTATTATTCCAGGCCATATCTGACTTCAACAACTTCAGTTAATTCTACATAAAATATCCAGAGGCCTCCACATTGGGTAATGACATTGATACTGAACAGTACGGCTAAGACAGCAATTACTCCTATAAGACTGACATATGGTTCACGAACATTTTCAGATTTTTTTTTTTTTTGGTGGGATTGGGGTTTGACTCTGGACTTTGGTTTTGCAGAGCAGGCACTCTACTGCTTGAGCCATACCTCTAGTCCATTTTGCTCTGATTATTTTGGTGATGGGGCTTCATGAACTATTTGCCCAGGCTAGCCTGAAACCTGATCCTCCTGATCTCAGCCTCCCAAGTAGTTAGAATTAATGAGCATGAGCCACCAGCACCCAGGGAAATTTTCAGATTTTAGAGCAAAAAGGCTTGAGAAAGCAGCCAGTATTTCAGTATTAAAAAGATGGGGGATGGGGTCAGTATTAGTTGAATATACTCTTCTCCCTAAGACAGGGGTGAATAACGAATTGGTGGTTTGTTTAACAAGGCTCCCTCCCTTTCTCATTATTTTCTTGGGGTCATTAACGTAACTAATCGCCCCTCAGAATTTATTTGCCACTAAGCTTTGTGTGGTCAATGTGTTAAGATATCATTAAAACGAACACTGTGTAGCTGGATGCCAGTGGCTCACCCCTATAATCCTGGATACTCAGGAGGCAGAGATCAGGAGGATCACAGTTCAAAGCCAGCCTGGGCAAATAGTTCACAAGACCCTATCTTGAAAACACTCGACACAAAAAAGGGCTGGTGGAGTGGCTCAAGGTGTAGGCCTTGAGTTCAAATCCCAGTACCGCAGAAAGAATAGTATGCAGGCTTGCTACCTGATGGTTTGACCTTGAGGTAAGTCACAACTCTCCTAAACTTTATCCACCTGTAGTGTGAGGAAGTTAAGCTGTCATTAAGTATTCTGGTATTTCATGATTTGGGCCATGGCTTTGAATCTCCCCCACCCCAGTGTAGCTCTGAGTTGCCAAGACCTTTCCTGAATGACAGCATGCGTGGCTGGGCCACCCTAGAGCAAAGACTGGGAGGCCCTTGGCAGGTTGTCTTCTTGCCCTATTGACCACTGCGTTGGAACATCGGGTAATGAGGTGGCATTGCTGGAGATGTCCATTCGGAATTTACCACACGTGATAAGCCGATTGAGCCAGTCCCTGTCAAGGTGCCCATCCTCCAGCCCTGGATAGGAAGAATCTGAACAAGTGCACAGCACTTCAACTCGGCCAGCAGCCTCATGGGAGACGCTTTGGAAGTTTCTAGAGTGAGACTGAAGAAATATGGTTCTTTTAACCAGGGTGCTTTCCAGACAATACGACATATCCAGCTACATTTCACAAAACATTAATACCAAGTTCAAGTTTCTGTGTAGACGGCTGCATGATTAGGACCCAGATCAGCAAGAATTCTAAAGTTCTGCTGGGCACCGGTGGATCACACCTGTAATCCTAGCTACTCGGGAGGCAGAGATCAGGAGGATCACGGTTCAAAGCCAGCCCAGGCAAACAGTTCTTAAGACCCTATCTCAAAAATACCCATCACAGAAGGGCTGGTGGAGTGGCTCGAGTAGTAGAGCGCCTGCCTAGCAAGTGTGAGGTCCTGAGCTCTAAACACCCAGTGCTGGCAAAAAAAAAAAAAATCTGAAGTTCTGGTAGGTTCCTTATCATTGCTGAGACACCTAGTAACACTACAGGTAGAGACTTTCAGTGCCCTGCAGGTGATCCCTGTGACCGACCTGGGCCCGTGTTAAACACTCCTCACCTGTGACCTCAGAACAACATAGAGGATGGGCACACAGTGACATCTCCCTGCACTGTGCGGCAGGGGAAAGACACAAAATATCCCAAACTGTTGGAAGACATGAGAGAGGGGTACCATAAGCTCATCAGGAGGGCGATTCCTGAAGAAAACAAAGCAGATGGGATCAGGTGTGAAATGAAATGGCAATGTGAAATCGAAATCCCAAGCATTTGGGACTGCTGGAGATGGGAGTGATTTCAGGAGAGCCCTAAGCTCAAATGCACACCCTAATACACCTGGGATTGAGGGACAGAACAAGGGCCATGCAGCCAGCCCAGAGCCCAGTACCCCAGGTGACAAATGGGACCTTATTGAAGTCGCAGCCTGCAGGGGTCAATCCAGACATTGTTTCCCCATACCACCATGTCATGTCAAAGGAACTGCGGTCTTTTTCTGGTATTTTCTGCGAGGAAGATACAGTCTATAACCGTGCTAGGCTGGGGGTGTGGCTCGAGTGGCAGAGCAACTGTCTCGCAAGTGTGAAGCCCTGCGTTAAAAACAAAAAACTCATTTCCTCTCACACTCTGCAACTCATAAAAAAAAAAAGTTGCCTTTTTTTTTTTTTTTGTCAAAAATAATAAGCTCTTCCTCAGAGCTGAGTGCAGCTCCCAGTCTCCAAGAAACTCCTCAAATGTGGTCTGACAGTGACAACTCTCCGGGGGGCTGGGGCAAGCAAATGGCGTGGGGAAGTCGGAATCCTCTTAAGCAGGCAAGAGGGAAAGGGCTGCTTCAGATTTTGCTCTCACAAACAGCTAGTGCCCCTTCACCCCCAAGAAAGGCGGGAGGCTGAGGCATGCAGGCACTCAGGGAGGTGTCCAGGCACTAACTGATACAAGATAAGCAACTGTGCCCAAACTGCCAGACATTTGTGGAAAACTAGCAACAAGAACATCTCAAACCCAACATACTGAAGATTTGGAGGGCTAATATACATCACTGGAAACAACAGAGGAAACTGGATTTTTTTAGTGTGTGTGTGGGGGGGGTGGTGCTGAGAACTGACCCCAGGGCTCCATGCAAGCTAGGCAAACACTCTTCTACTGACTACACTGCAGTTCCAGGACACTGGGAATTTAAACCTGGATTATTGTCACTCAGGTTCTAAACACTATCCCACCTAGTCAGAACCAGAGTGCCTCGGAGAAATGGCTGACTCCGTGCAGGGGAAAGAAAAGTGCACAGGGAGCTGGGAACCTTTCTATGTGCTGAAAAACAACATGTAATCAAAGAGTGACGGCCACATGTCAGGAGGACTTGATGAAATCCTTATAGCCAAGGGTGGGTCCACTTAAGCATAAAATGAGCCAAGTGCTGGTAACTCATACCTGTAATCCTAGCTACTCAGGGGGCAGAGTTTGGTGCACACCTGTAATCCCAGCTGTGGGGGAGGAATAGGTAGGAAGATGCAGTCTGAGGCCCACCTCAGGCAAAAATGCAACACCCTACCCAAAAAAGTGACTAAAGCAAAAATGGGCTGGTGGCTCAAGGGGCAAAGCATCTGCCTAGTAAGTATGAGGCCCTGAGTTCAAATTCCAGTTACACACACACACACAAACACAACCAATAATGACCCAACAACCCATAAGAAGAATAATTCATAACGACAAAAAATAAAAGCTCTTCCTTACAGGAGAACACTAATAAGAACTGCAGCTATTGTAATTGCACCAGAATAAAAGCTGGCTCAATTGGTAGAGTGGCTGCCTAGCAAGTACAAAGCCCTGAGTTTAACCTCCAGTACCAAACTCCCCCCACCCAAAAAAAGAATAAAGTCACCACTTTGCAACCACCGAGTCACACTAGCATCACAAGTGGATGCTAACGTGTGGTCTCAAAGCTTCCTCCAAAGCTTACTAATTACACAAGGACCATGGCAACTCCACAAAAATGAGGCACTGCCTTAAACAAGGGACTGGCACTGACATTGGTAACAGGATCTCCTGACGCCATGACCCCAATGGGATACACTGGTCTTGACTCTCAAAACTGTATCACAAAAGAACTGTTTCGTACTAAGGACAGCAGGGGACTGGCAACTAAACACAGCACATGACTCTAGGGCAGACCCTGCGCCAGGAATGGGTGCTCTCCAGAACTCATTAGAACTGGCAAAATTTGAATGCAATCTTTAGATTAGAGTTGCTGCTTAGTGTTAATGATGTCAGTGCTAACTTTCCCGGTTTTGATCATTGAAAATAATTGTTTAAGTAATAGAATATTCCAGATGTACTTAGGGGCATGAGCTCTGAACTTTCTCCAAACAGTTCAGGAAGAGAGCTGCGTATGCTAAGATGAGCCTTCATGACTCCTGTACACACAGGGAATGGTTACCCCAATGTGGTGAGGTTAGGTTTTTGAACCAGTATTCCTTATACCATCCTTGCAACTTTCTGACATTTGAAATTATTTCAAAATAAATTAAAATTTGGTTCCTGAAAAAAATAAAGAGCTCAGCATACAGGCTGGAAAGCAGAAGGAAGGATGAACAGGCAAACAGCAGCCTGCAGACAAACAGAGGAGACATTCTGCAGACCTCAGTTACCTGAGAGGAGCTGTCACCAGGTGCGGTGCACTGCCCATTGCCCCAGCTCCTTGGGAGGCTGAGGGCAGGAGGACAGCTTAAGTCCAAGTTTGAGGCCAGCCTGGGCAAGAGAGAGAGACCCTGCCTCAAAAAAGTAAGGGCTGGCTGGGGGCATAGCTCAAGGGGTAGAGTGCTTGACTACCAAGCAATGAGGCCTTGGATTCAATCCCAGTACCACAAAATAAATAATAAGTATCAAACAGTTCTAGAAATACAAAGGTGAAAAAGAGAGGAGACAAAGAAATAATGGGCGAAAAGCTCGCCCAGTTGGTACTATGCAACAGGATGTTATCTAGACAGCAAGTTTAAACCAAAACACCAAAGGAAAACAACCTGTTTCGTGAACGAAAAAGAAGTAAATGACCTAGTTAAATGACATGACAGTAACAAGTGAGACACAAGAGTTTCTGGAGACCTGGGGGGCAGTTCTTCAGTTAAGACTATAGGCCAAGTATGAGGAAAAAGCCAGTAAGAAAAATAGCTTTTTTCAATGTCTGAATTATTTCCTGCAACAGTGGCAGGCTTTCAGTTCTCAGTTTTACAACACTTCCTTGCATTTTATCCTACAGTAGATATGCTTCACCAATCCTGACTCTAAAAATTTGCTTTAAAAAGTGGCTCCTGAGCAGGATACAATGGCTCATGTCTATAATCCCAGCTACTCAGGAGGTGGAGACTGAGAGGGTTGAGGTTTGAGGGCAGTCCAAGCAAAAAGTTAGCAAGATTCCATCTCAAGCAAGCTGGGCACATATGGTCTCAGTTATGTGGGAGGCTGTGGGTAGGAGGATTGCAGTCTGAGGCCAGCACTGGGCAAAACCGCCAGACTCTACCTAAAAAATAACTTAAGGCAAAAAAGGGCTTGGGGGTATGGCTCCAGTAGTAAAGCACCTGACTAACAAGCGAGAGGCCTAGTTCAGATCCCAGCACCACCAAAGGAAAAAAAATAGCTCTCCCTGGGTGGGGGATATTGGACCACATCTCTTCTTCTAGCTTGGAAATGTCCTTAATATAAGCATTCCATGTGGACTTGATACTAGTGTTGGTGTGGGTCCCTGAATAAGGTTTGGGATATAAGCTGTAGGGTCCCCAGACGTCACAATCTGAAACACAAAGGTTGCTAAGAGTGAAGATCACTGGACAATGACCAGAGAGCTACTAAAATTCAGGAATATTAGGAAGGCCATGTGGATTTCACTGAAAAATGAGAATCTCAATCTACCTCAATGGGTGATTATAGATGGATACTTCAGTCCCAATGCCTGCTTCTGTCCAGAGTGATTTTCCATGTACTTTGCACTTAACTATGTCTCTTCCTGGTCCCATGTCAGGGCAACTTGTCTGTTTTTGCCCTTATCCTGTGCTCATGGCATTGAACTCACCATGTCTCCATCTGTGCAATGACTTCAGTCAGGTGGCCTTGGCCACACTGTAGGCTAGGTACCTCCAGCAGGCTATGCCTGTCAGGGATGTATTGTTCCAAGGGCTGGAGGCTTTTAGGAGCTTTTTAGGAACAAGCATCTGACATACCCAAAATGATGAATGCATGAACAGCAGTAAGTGCGAATTTCTCCAAGTGAATGACTTACTGACTGAAGTAGTGTCTGCTTGGAATTGCCAACAAGGATCAGCCTGTTCTCGAAGAACAAGGATTGTACTATTCAGTTTCCTAATGTCTGCTGATTAATTCTAGTAGCAATATTAAAAAACCTTGGAAATAGTTCCTTTTCCAACTGAGCCGTGAGAGAAACAGATCATGCTGGAAGGAAAAATGAATATATTATCCAGTTTTCAGGTTAGTGTTTTCACAGATGAAGGGATAGCTAGAAGTAATTGCTAAGTCTGGAAACCTTGGGATAAAGCTACCTTTGTCATGCTGTCTGAGAGCACATTCAATTATGACTCGTAACAGTCTATCTCCAAATATGCTTTTGAGGGACCTATACCAGTGTCCAGCGTTTTCAGATGACATGTTCAGCTCCTTAAGGAAAGGCATCGGAGGGCATGAACAGGAGTTCACCAGCCTGGAAACTGACTGGCAGGTGATAAGCCTCCATGAGGTGGGCGAATGACACACTGTGGAAAAGAAAGCTATCCAAAGGCACTCCTTCTCACTCCAGCAGGCACACTGGAAGGCCACGTAAACACCCCCATTAACCTAAAGAAAAAGGAAAAGCCTTGAGAAATAGCCTGACCTGGCAGTGACGCCAGCAGCTCGTGAGATGCCAGTAGAAGTGTAAAGGAAAGCCTTTTATGAACAGGAAGATGACAGTACTTATCAAGAACCTTAGATTTTTTTCACTTCAAATAATTTTTTAAAGTTCCTATTTTCTAGTCCCATTTTTAGGAATGCAACCTAAGAAAATATTTATATGCAATAATGTTCAAAATATCACCAGTGGGCTGGAGGAGTGGCTCAAGTGACAGAGCGCCTGCCTAGCAAGCCCAAAGCCCTGAGTTCAAACCCCAGTATCACAAATAAAAAAAAAAAAAAAAAAAGAAAAGAAAAGAAAGAAAATCTCACCTGTTATATTTTCTAAAACCACGGAGGGCTAGAGATACAGCTTGGCAGTAGCGTGTGTCCTTAGCATACATGAAGCCCTGGGTTTGATTTCCGGAACCACAAAAACCAAAAGCTGTGCAGGGTGGGTAGTGCATACCTGAAATCCCAGCACTTGAGAGGTTCAAGCAGGAGGATCCTGAGTTCAAGGCCAGTCTGGTGTACATAGTGAGACCCATCTCAAAAAAACAAAACAAACAAAACCCAAAACAATGAAAATAACTGAAATTCTGAACAGGAGATCTGTCATAAAACTAAATTATTCCATCTACATGGTGGGATACTGAGCACTTATAAAAAAAAGGTTGTACTTTAAAGCCATGTACTGTGGTGTGCACCTATAGTTCCAACTACATGGCAGGTTGAGGGAGGATTAAGCCTAGGGCATCCTGGGTGGAGTGGAATGGAATAAAATAAAAATGTTTTTGATGGATATGTAATGACATACTGTGATCGTCGTATTATAAAAAATGCAGCAGAAAAAAAGAAGAGAAACATTCAAGTATAAACAGTGGTGACGTCTGGCAATAAAACTGAGTGATTTTTATTTGCTTCATTCTTTCCTGTTTCCTGAAACTTCTGCCATGAATACATATTTTATCATCAGAAAACAGTGTTTTTGTTTTTGTAAAAGAAAAATTCCTTCACTATAGCAGGCTTGTAACTTCTTGATCTGAACAAAGGCAAGAATGTGTGGGCACTTACCTACCTGTGCTCCACGAAGGGTTTCTGGGATCCATGATGCACGTGTCAGGAACATATGGATGTATGCTAACTTACTTGTTATAAAATCTCCACAGACTTCTGATACACAATACAATCCAAGAACAGTATCATAAAACACATCACTGAAGTATACTAAAATAAGATTATTTACTTAAAAATGATACATTGGACACAGTCTATATATAGAACAAGCAATTAATGGTAAACTTAATAAGGCACCTTTTAATCCAGATGCTGTACAAAAAACATTTAGTGTGTTACATATCAAAGATGAATCTCTATTTTTGGTGTTTTACAATTGCATAATAAAACTGCTTGTTTTTACCCTCTGTCAATGCCTATGTACAGTTTCCCTAATTAAGCTATAACACTTTCATTTTATACAATATATACTACATTTTAGTTTCTAAGTGGGAAGGACAAAGGTCACTAAAGAGTTTTAAATAATTCCACTGAGAGCAGAGTACAGAGCACATGTGAAATGACAGTATGTGTAATCCTTTGCAAAAGCCATATCCGCCATCTTTCCTTATGGGCTGGTCCTTCTACAGTTTACCATGTGCTGATGCTCTGGGTTGTGGCTTATGGGCAAAACTACTCTCCAGATTTCCACTGTGAGTCTCTTTATAGCACTGAGGCAGGAAGAGGAACTGATATACCATGATTTCAACATCTGACCCAAGGGAATAATCTCACTTTTAAACAGTTACAAGGGCTACTCACACTCAAAAAAAAAAAAAAAAATCTGGCCGATAGCATGGCTATAATGGCAGAGTGCCTGCCTAGTAAGCATGAGGTCCTGAGGTCAAACCCCAGTACACCAAAAAAAAATTTTATGTTCTGTTGAAATTATTTTGATTCTTTCAGAACATTTCACTTTTTTTTTTTTTTGGACAGTACTGGCATTTGCACCCTGAGCCTGTGCTTGCTAGGCAGATGCTCTACCACTTGAGCCACATTGTCAGTCCCTTTAGAAATATTTCCAAACGATATACATGAAAAGAAGCAAGTTTTAGTTAATGAAATTTTCCTTGGAATTACTTAATGTCAAATCAGATGCTGAGTCAATTCGGAGATGCATCTTTATTTTTTTTATGGTTCTGGGGTTTGAACTCAGGGCCTCCTTGCTTGCACTGCAAGCACTCCATCCACCACTTGGGGCACACCTCCAGCCCTCATTTTTTATTTTATTGTATTTTTGCTCTAAATAGAAAAAAGCTTCTGGGAAAAAAAAAAAAAAGGTACCGAATATTGCTAGAGTGAATAAAAAACTCTGGCACATTCCAGGACAATGATTTACAAAAACCAAAAATCATTTTAAGTTTAGAATTGCTTCTAGACATTGGGAATGCAGCACAAAATGTTACTTAAAGTATCTTTTGGGGCTGGTGGAGTGGCTAGAAGAGCATGAAGCACTGAGTTCAAACCCCCAATACCACCACCCAAAAAATATTTTTGTAAAAATGTTTTCAGAGAAGCCAGATTCATATTTTACACTCAGAAACTTATTCACAGATAAAGCTTAGAATAAGTACACTCAAGCAGATTTTAATATATTTTTAATCCTACAAATTATTTACCAATGTGAACAGAATGCATGAGGATAATTTTCTTTGAGGGTTAACTTTTGGTGTTTGTATTCAGGTAGTTTTGTTTTTGTTTGCTCATCTTTTAACTATTTAAAGGAATGAATGACTGAAGCCATACATTTTAATAACACTAAATTGTAAATGGGGCCAAATCATGGCTTTCAGGGGCTTTTTACATTATCAACTAAGTAACTACATAATGCTTCTTTGTATTGGTCTGACATAATCTTTAAATATTTCTCTTTATTGGATGAATTTCAAATTTAAAAGTTAAGAGTGAAGAGAGAAGAAAGTTTCATGCAACTTCTTTGATTTTAGGATTCCAAATACAGAATTATCTGCCTTTTAAAGAACATGTTAGAGTAGAATTTCTTTTTTGGCAGTTCTAGGGTTTGAACTCAGGGCCTCCTGCTTGCTAGGCAAGTGCTCTACCACTTGAGCTACACCTCCAGCTCTAGAAAACATTTCTGACAAACTTCTAAGATTTATTCTGTTCTTTTTTTTAACGAAAGTGATAGCATAGTTTATTAGGAAAGGAATATACTTTCAACAGATTGAAAGCAGGCCATCTCTAGAGAGAGAATGAGAAGATTGATTCCTGACAGCACTTTTACAAGACCTAGTTAAATAAGAAAAAAGTGATAGTGGTTAAATAACTGCCCGTTTTTGCCTTCACAAAGCATTTCTTTTCTAAGAAAGTTTGCCTTTCCTTACATATTTTTAAGATGACTCATAACTCAAGATTTATAGTTGTAACGTCAAAAATAAATCAAGGCTAACTTACGACTGAGTAAGTCAGATCTTGTAAGTCATCTCAAATTTTGATGAAAATACCTGTATTTCTGAGTATACCAATGGGGAAAACATTCTGAAAAAGCAAGTTATTGAGTATTATCAATATGAAAATTCACTTATCTTGATGAACACTTCAAACTTTAATTTTGTTAGATGAACTTATTAAATCAAACAGTTGAGTCAAGTCTCAAATTTGTGAAACACGATGTATAGACACTAGGGTTAAGTTTCAGCTGAAATGACAGTCAAGTTTTTGGTGATGGGCACATGTTCTAATATCCTCCCATTTAATTTAAATCTTTTTTGGCTATATTGTGATATAATCACAGTTACTTCATGTTTTATCTCACTTGATGTTTACAAGTTGTTTGCTCAGAACAGATTAAAAAGCACAGTAAGTTTAGGTAAATCAGAACTAATCTTTGAGATAACAAGGCCTCTATAAAATATGTACCATTTTATTGAATAATAGCTATACAGTGTAGATATAGATACTGACTAGATACCAAACGTTTCTGCCGAACTCTTCACTGTCTTTACAAGTTAGGGACCAGAAATCATAAACCCAAACATCTCAAATGATTTAAATGTCTAAAACATATTTGACAGTCATTACTAAACTCGTATCAGCTCTGACATATAAATTTCTAATTACAGAATCCTCCATAAAGGAAAATTGAGATGACGTTATCTTAATAAAATTTTTGCTTTAAGTTAAAAAAGTCCTGGATTTGATATATTACTTTGAATGTATCAATTCTGAAGATTCATATGTAGTTCCACTTTAAAATTTTTTTCCCTTAAGGATGAGATGTGAGGTACATGTGAGTTGGTTTCTATAGTATGAATGTATATATGAATATATATATTCATATATGAATGTATGTACATATATAAAATATGGCTGTAAAGGAGCAGGTTTTGCAAATAAAGCACATTACACACAAAATATAAATAACTTCCCTTTTAAAAGTTACTGTGAATAAAGACTACAGAACATGATTATAGGCACTTACATTGCTATCAAATGCAGTAAATCACTTCAGTAAGAAGTGGTTTCTTTGAAAGCATGGTTCAATGGCATTGGAAGCTCCAACTTTGGATAGGAGGCTTTTCGTGACAAAAACAGTAATTAAAGATGGTGGTAGAAGGAAAACAGTCCACATTTATGGACACTTTGAACTTCTTTTGGCCTTTATAGTAACTATTAGGTTAAAAAAAAAGTTGGTGGGGAAGCTACCTCACTTGCAAGGCAAATGGCTTTTATGATTGGCGAATCTTGGTCAGATACTGCATTTTTAAAGCACAAAACCCACCAGGCACCAATATCTTCCTATGCATTCATAAATTATTTTCTTCTAATCCCAATGGCAGCAGAGGAATCTTGGTGTGAGTATGCGACACACCATTACCAAAGAAGGCATGATGAACTTTTATAACTAAGCAGTATCCCAGAGAGATCTTCATCTATAGGCTATTTTACAAAGGCAAACACAAACAGATTGAATTTTCTCAGGCAGAAAGCAAAAGTGTACATTTCTCCATCTCTGCTGAACTCATTTATCTCCTGAAGGCTTTCACAGAAAGCACTGCTTTATGAACAGGCAATTCAGTACCCAGAGTTTGACTGGAGACTTATTAATCATGACTGGAGTCTTGATACAGTTCATACAAACTCAATTTTAAAAAAGGCATCAGAAACCACATTTAAAATAAAGCTGTCCATATATAAAGAATGAAGTGTTCAGAAGTTCCCAGCTTGTATTCTACAGAGTACTGAAAAATTGAAAGTTAGCAGCCTATGAAGGTGTAGTGAGGAAAGAGTCTGAGAACCAAGTCGGCATTCTTATTCCATGCTAATACCACCCTTTCCTTGGGTGCGAATGGTTCTTGCAGTCTAGAATTCCTCATCAAGATTGTTTAACTGTCAAATCTTTACATCTTGAGATTCAACCATCTTGGCAAGCGTCTTCTTGATTCTCAGTGCTGTAAGTCTGGAGGCTGGATTGTGTGCCCAGCATTCTGACATTAGTTTCAAAACTGCTCGTAGACACTGAAAAGTAAAGAGAATGTTGTGAGCAGACAGTGTCTTTGTTGATACTCATCAATCACTTCTTTAATGGTGAATTCCACTTACTTCATCACTGTTCCATCGGTTAGACACGATTGGCCGCAGACGTTTGACACACACAACCTCACGCATATCTTCATAGGATGGATCACTGGGCACCATGTTGTAATAGGGCAATTGGTACTCCTCCACTATCCCTGTAGGAGTGAAAAAACAAATATGGTAGTGGGACAAAATATATCAGTCTATGCAGTATCTCTCACTAAGCTGCTAGAGCTAAAACCAATTTCTACATAAAGAAGAAAAGATGCTTGGGTGTGATGGTCCCTACCTGTAAACCCAGTTACTCTGGAGGCCAACACCTGGAGGATCAATGATCGAGGCCACTGCAGGCAAAAACTTAGCTAGAGTCCACTTCAACCAACAAGCCGGGCAAGATGATAAGCACCTGTGATCCCAGCTACACAGGAATACACAGAAGGATTGTAATCTGAGCTGGCCCTGGGCTCTCCGACTCTATTTCTACCCTAGCTGAAAAATAACTAAGGCAAAAAAGGGCTGGGGTGCGATTCAAGTGGCATAGTGCCTGTCTAGCAAGCATGATGCCCTGAGGTTTTTTTCAGACACTTCCTAGGCAGGTACTTGACTTCTTGAAATATGCCCCCAGCCCTTTTTTGCTTTAGTTATTTTTCAGATTGGGTCTTGTACCGTGCCCCTCTTTCTGGGCTGGCCCAGAACCTCCTAATATGGGCCAGGCCTTCCAAGTAGCTGGGATTACAAGCATGAGCCACCACACCAAGCAGATGGCTCACTTTTAATTGTAAATACATGCTTTTCTCTTATTGATGTCCCATTATTTCCTCTACCTCTACCAGGGACTGTATCACATTGATATCTAATAGGATAATTAGGGGCCATTCTAGTATTTCTTTTACCTCCAAAAAAGAGCAAGGAGAAATCAGTCATTTATCAAAGTTTTTAATTTAAATGTCTCTTTACTTGACTGTTCATACTCACTAGCAGTTGTTATTATTTTATTCTGCAGGGGAAGACAAGAGTTCACACAGCATGCCTGAGACTACGCTCCTTAGAAAAGCTGCTTGCAAGATCAGCCGTTGGTTAGTGGCTGAATGGTGAGCTGTTCTCCACCCAAATAAGAAACTTCCCCAAGTGATGACGGTGGCTCAGTGCTCCTGTGTAAGCAGTGTGATGTTATGCTGAACGCCGATTTCCTTCTGGGAGGCTGAAATTTTAGTGCATGCCTATGATCAGCCCTTAATAAAATCTGCGGGTGCTGTGTCTCTAAGGAGTGTCTCTGATGGATGACAACACTTCACACACCACGGTCACAGTGACGTCCTGAGCGTCACACACCATAGGCACATTAATGTCCTAGGTGGCTCCACTGGAGAGAACTTCTGGAAGCCTTGCCTTGCCACCTTTTCTCCTGCTCCCTTGGCTGATTTGAACTTCACTCCTTTCACTGTAATAAAACTGAGCAGTGAGGACGACTACATGCTAAGTCCAATGGGTTGTAGGACCTGAGAGTGGTCCTATGGGCCGGACACACATAGAAATTACATAAATGGAATTTCCTTGGTACTAGGGTTTGAATTCAGGGCTTTGTGATTGCAAAGCAGGCACTCTACCACTTGAGCCACACCTCTAGTCCATTTTGCTCTGGTTATTTTTGAGATGGAGTCTCACAAACTATTTCCCTGGGCTGTTTTGAACCTTGATACTCCTGATCAAAGCTTCCCAAGTAGACAGAATTATAGGTGTGAGCCACCAGTGCCTGGCTGGTATTTATTTTGGTTTTTTGGTGGTACTTTGGTTTGAACTCAGGGCCTTGTGCTGCTAGGAAGGCATTCTACCATGTGACCCATGCCCCCAGCCCCACCCACCCCCGCATGCCTTTTTTTTTTTAGTACTGGGGTATTTAACTCAGGGTCTTCACCACCCCTTTATTGTGAAGGGTTTTTTCAAGAGAGGGTCTCTTGAACTATCTGCCCGGGTTGGCTTCGAACTGCAATTCTGATCTCTGCCTCCTGAGTATTAGAAGTACAGGCGTGAGCCACCAGTGCTCAGCCCTTTTTGCTTTTTAATTGTGTTTTTCAATAGGGTCTAGTGCTTCTTGCATGGGCTGGCCTGGTCTGCGTTCTCCTAGGATTACAGAAATGCACCCCCCCATGACAAGCTTATTTGTTGAGATGAGGTCTTGTTAATTTTCTGCCATGACTCGCCTCTAATCACAATCCTCCGGATCTCTACTTCCCTAGTAGCAGGGATTATAGATTTGTATCATCATACCTGACCATCGAACTATTATATTTTTCAATAACAAATAAATATAAAATTAGGAACACACTACTCAAACTCTTACCTCCTGTGATACAACGCCGAGCCATTTCCCAAATAATCAGGCCAAAGCTATAGATGTCTGCCATTATGTAAGGCTGGAAATGGTTTTTATTCAGGCTTTCATCTAGCACTTCAGGAGCCATGTACCGTTTGGTGCCCACCCTGGTATTCAAGGGCACATCAACTTCATTTGTGTCACTGAAACCGGGGAAGAACAATGTCCAGGTTGAGGGCCAAGAACAAAAGATTATTTTGTGTTTTGAGATACATTTTTGGGAGGGGGGGCAGGACTGGGGTTTGAGCTCAGGGCTTCACACTTGCAAAGCAGGCACTCCACTGCTTGAGACACACCTCTACTCCATTTTGCTGTTCTGGTTATTTTGGAGATAGGGTCTTAAGAACTATTTTCCCCGGCCTGGCCTTGAACCTCAATCTTCCCAATCTTAGCCTTCCAAGTAGCTAGGATTATAGACGTGAGCCACTGGTGCCCACCCTTTTGTTATATTTTTATGCTTCTCTCCATCTAAAAATATATGTATTTCCACACTCTCTTATCAGAAATCCTTGGGGCCAGATGTAATATACCTCTTAAAAACACACTACATTCTATATGACATCCCAGCAGGGGCTGGGGCAGTGCTCTTAACCCCCGCTCTCTATAGAGAAACACTGACTATTCACACAAAACACCTTATTCACATAAGCATCTGAACTGACATTAAGGTCAGCGTTTGTCACCAAGTAAGTGCAGTAACTCTAAGAAAGAGAACAATGCTGACTGTAAGAAATGGCAGAGAATTATATCTGACAAGTGAATATAAAAATAAATTGAGGGCTAGCAGAGTGGCTTAAGTGGTACAGCACCTGCCTAGTAAGCATGAGGCTCTAAGTTCAAGCCCCAGTTCTGCCAAAAAAAAAAAAAAGAAAGAAAGAAAATAAACTGAAAGTAAATGACTGAAAGAATAATTTACTTTTACCATTCTTACATGATAAGCTCAGCCTCTGAGATATAGGATTACATTTTAGTTCTTCATGGGTCCTATTAACTTAGTTATGTTAGCAATATCTACACGAACATATTGAAACTCAGTAATAAATGATTTGTTCATTAGTTTTTCAAGTTTTCTATTGAATTTTAGAGTTGAAGACATGAATGCTTTGTTGCTTATGTCCCTAGATCTGGCAGGTTCTGAAAACTACTCTCAAGCAGAGATCAATAATGCATTATATTTTCTTATATGACATCTGATGAATATTATACCAACAAACAGTACATTGACTTAGAATACTGTAACCAGGGAAGATTTAAATGGTTCTTTCAGCTGTTTTATTGACCAGTACTTTTACTTTGTGGCCTGAAACGAATTCTGAAATGTGAAGTGACTGTCGTGTTCTAGCTACATTAAAATAGCTTCAGTAATTTCCTAAAAATTTTGTAATTCTAATTGTTTAAAATCATTGACAATTTACCAAGTGGTAGTAGAGAAGCAACATATTTATCTTACAAACCCTCTGTTTTAGTAGTCTCTTTTCTACAAATCTATAGCAAATACTTTTTTTTTTGCAGTACTCATGTTTGAACTCAGGGCCTACACCTTGAGCCACTCCACCAGCCATTTTTTTGTGATGAGTTTTTTTCGAGATAGGGTTTCTCGAACTATTTGCCCCGGCTGGCTTCAAGGTGTACTCCTCCTGATCTCTGCATCGTGAGTAGTTAAGATTACAGGTGTGAGCCACCGGTGCCCAGCCACAAATACTTAAACAAATACTCAAGGATATATAGTATATATGGGTAAATATAATATTGCTCACTGCAGCTTTTTAAAATAATACAGATAAACTGGAAATAACTTTAATGTCCACTGTTTGGGTCAGAGTAAATACATACACATCACCGAAAACCACATGTGTAAAAACAATGAGGTAGATTTACATAAACTGAAATGGAAGGATGTCTACAACCATAAAAAGCAGTAAATCAAGAATTATGTATAGGATGGGGATAAAGCTCAGCGAAAGAGTGCATGCCTGCTTAGAGCAAAGTAAGATATAATTTTTTGTAAAAGAACAACAACAAAAAAAATCCCAATGAATAACATGCAAATTTCTTTTAGAGATTAAAATAATTTCAAAACAGTGGGTAAAGCACTTACCTGTTGAACTTAACAGCAAGGCCCAGGTCAGCAATACAGCAACTTCCATTTTTCTTGATAAGGATGTTTTTGCTCTTTAGGTCTCGATGAGCAATTGCAGGTTTTCCTTGGGTGCCATAAATTTCTGTGTGGAGGTGGCACAGACCACAGGCAGCTGAATAGGCCAACCTGAGCAGGGCTCTGGTGTCTAATGTGGCACATTTCAGGAAGTCATAGAGAGATCCATTTTCATGGTAGTCAGTAATCAAATAGAGCTGAGTCCAGGAACCTGTCCCTTTAATGTCTGCTGCTATAAAACCTGTTTGGTTGATGAGTTTAAAAGGTTAGCTATCATCAGAGACAACTAAGAGGAGTTACAAATGCTTACTCAAGATACTGAAAATAATTTATGTTATTACATACAGATAGTAATTGCTTAATTTCCCTGGCAAAATCTTTTGAATATGTTACCAAAAATTTTATTTCTACCATTTATACATCTAGCTACACTTCAGCAATAAATTTACAGTAATATTAACGATAGTCATACAAGTGTTAAGAAGACAACATGTAATAAACTGCAGAATGCTGCCAATCCACAAGATTCTCTAGTGGAAGGGTTCTCAAGTTGAAAAGTGGACAACTTAAAGTTAAAAATGTTTAACTAGGAGTTAGCTCCTAACTAAGCCAACTCCTAACTTGCCCATCAGTGCCTCATCCCATATCTGCCTTTCCACTGTGGCTGTTACAAGATGCACAACAGTGTCCCCGACACCGCCCACTTTTCCTTGTACTTTCTTTTCTCCTCTCTGCCTTAATAAAATGGTCAGTGCTACACTGAGTGTTACCAGAAAATTCTTGTCCTCTTGGAACCTATAAATGTGACCTAATTTGGAAATAGGGTCTTTGTAGATGGAATCACATTAAGATGAGATCATACAGGATTAGAGTGGGCCCTAATTCACTGTCTTAGAAGATGGAAACTGGTTGCAAGCTCACAAGGAAGAAGGCCATGAGACAAAAGAAATAGAGACTGAAGTGTAGTGTAAGTTAAGGAACACCAAAGATTGCTGGCTACCACTGCTGCAGAGGGGGAAAGAAAGGATCCTCTCCTAGAGCTTCTGCCAACTACCTGATTTTAAACCTCCAGCCTTTAAAACTGCAAGAGAATAAACTTCTATTACTTTAAGTCACCCAGTTCATGCTAATTTATTATAGCATCAGTAGAAAACTAATACAAGTACTTGTTTTATGCTTGGCAATGTGCTATGCACTCTCCAAACTAGTAAAACACAGCAGCTGAAAAGAAAACTCAGGAAAGCTAAATTTGTTTATGCACTCTACTGATTAGATTATACCTACATTATTTTGTGACTGTGTAAATGAGGTGAGGAACACATACCAATCACAGAATGTGCTGCTTGCTGGCTTGCTGAGCTTATAAAAGGTAAAAGGGGGATGCAGCTAAAGTTACCCTAGAAAACTGTTTATCTCAGGGGGGGAGAAATGACCCAAACATTGTATGCACATATAAATTAAAAAAAAAAAAGAAAAGAAAACTGTTTATCTCTATAGAAGACTTGGTTTTCATTACTATGTGAGTTGAGTGCATTTGAGCACACTGCGTTTCTTGAATTGGGTAGTAACTGAAGTGCTTGCTGAGCATTCAGTATTGTGTATATTTAAAGTGTGCTGGGTACCAGTAGATCACATGTGTGGTTACTCAGGAGGCTGAGATTGGGAGGATCGTGGTTCAAGGGCAGCCTGGACAAATTATTCACGAGACCCCCATCTCCAGAAAATAACCATAGCAAAATGGACTGGAGGTGTGGCTCAAGTTGTAGAGTATATGCTTTGCAAATGGGACACCCTGAGTTTAAACCCCAGCCCTACTATAAATAAATAAATAAATAAATAAATAAATAAATAAATAAATAAATAAATAAATAAATAAAAACAGAGTGTGTATTCTACTGGATTTCCTCTAGCCAAACATACGTAGTTGAATTCATGTGCCATATGGCAGGCTTTCACCTGCACCCCACTAACCTTGTGTCAGAATATGGAAAAGAATGAAAACAAATGGTACCCACCAAGTATATTTTCATGGCGCATTAGCACTGTTTGGTAGATTTCTGTTTCTCGAAACCAACTAGCTTCTTCAGTGGTAAAAAACACTTTGACTGCCACTTTTTCACCACGCCATTTTCCCATCCACACTTCTCCATACCGGCCTTTACCAACTTGCCGAACCATCTGAATCTGTTTGGCAATAGTTCGCTGAACCTTTAAAGAAAAAATATTAAGTTTTGAGCCTTGATGAACAGAATCTATTAAGACTGACAAAGGAAGTATGATAGGCTATTCCATCAAAAGTCTTGGTATATCCAAACAACCAACTCCAATGTTAACACTGTTAATGGATTTAAAAGAAACAAATGTATAACGTATTGTGAAATAATAAACAGGTTAGTCAATTGAGACAGAATGTAAAAAGTCATCCTTGGGTAGTTTCCTTCACCAGACTCAGGCTTTGGCATGACTTGCTTTGGGCAATACAACAGCAAATGTGCTGCAAGCACAGACTTGACAAATGTTTACGCATTAAGGCTTGTCCTTTCTTGATGTACTTGGAAACCCTGATTCCAACACAAAGCACCAGGAGAACTGTGAATCTTATGTGCAAACTACCCAGCTTTACCTGAGCAAGTCTAGAAAACACTCTCCAGTCGGCTCATAGAATCATGAGAAATAATAAATGTTTGTGGCTTCAAGTCACTAAGTTTTGGGGTGGTTTATTATGCTGCAAATATAAATGATAGTGAAACTCTTCAACTCAGTTTCTAAAACTTTCTATGATCTGGCCCAGCCCCAAGCACACTTACATGTGCTCCTCTTTTTGCCTTATTCTAACTTTTAGAATTCACTCAAGCTTACTCCTATATCATCTTGCCTGCACGTCCAATTTCCTTAAAGTGCTGTATGTCTAAGCTTAAAACGTGTTTTTTTCTCCCAACACTGGCGTTTGAACTCAGGGCCTCATGCTTGCTAGGCAGGTGCTCTTACCACTTGAACAACTCCACCAGCCCAAGCTTAAACATGTTTATAGCATACACACGTTTCAATTGTTAAAATTTGCTTGAACTCTATCCCCACTTCACAGACTATAGGTAATTTATTGAAGCCAATACCTGAAGTATAGTAGGTACTTTAGTCTTTATTTATAGAAGCAATAGTATTTATTTATTTTGTGGTACTAGGGTTGGAACTCAGGGCTTCAAGATTGCAAAGCATGCATTCTACCACTTAAGCCATACCCCCAGTCCACTATAGTGGTTATTTTAAATGGGGGGAAAAATGTTTCAGGGAGGAAGTGCATCTAAAATGAGCTGCACTTATACAAACCAAACTTGACTTAGATCATACTACAGACTCCTTCTGCAATCTTTTTTTTTGCAGTACCGGAGTTTGAACTTAGGGCCTACACCTTGAACCACTCCACCAGCCCTTTTTTGTGATGGGTTTTTTTCAAGATAGGGCTTGGCAAACTATTTGCTTGGGCTGGCTCGAACTGTGATCCTCTGGATCTCTGCCTCCCAAGTAGCTCAGATTACAGGTGTGAGCCCTCAGCTAATGTTATTTTTGGGGGGCAGCATGGGAATTTGAACTCAGGGCGGGCCTCACACTTGCTAGGCAGATACTCTTACCACCTGAGCCACTCTACCAGCTCTGTAATCTTTTTCTTAAAGTCAGGATTACTGACATATAATATATACATAATAAGATTCATACTTTTTGAGAATAGTGCAGTTAGTTTTGAACATAGTCATACAATCACTAATACCACATTTAAGATGTAGACTATTTTGTCTGGTGGGAGGCAGAGATGAAGAGGATTGTAGTTCAAGGTCAGCCAAGACAAAATGTTTGCAAGACTCCATTTGAACCAATAAAAAGCTAGGCTAAATGGCACATGTCCGTTATTCCAGCTACATGGGAAGCATAAATGGGAGGATCATGGTCCAGGTCAGCCCAGGAATAAATGCAAGACCCTACTGGAAAACCAACTACAGGAAAAAGGGCTGGGGCATGGCTCATGTGGTAGAGCAGCAGTCAAGCAAGTGCAAGGCCCTGAGTAACCAAAAAAAATTACTTTTTTTTTTCTTTTGGAGACAGGTCTTGCTATATAACCCAGGCTGTCCTCAAACTCTTGACCTCCTACCGTTGGCTTCCCTGACTGCTGCGATTACAGGCTTATGCCACCACACATGACCTAAGTTTCCACTTTTTAAGGTTAATCCCCCTTCCTAGTCCCTGGGCATCACTGATTTGTATTCTGAGCCTACAATCTTACCTTTCCCAGATTATCACAAAAAGTAGGTATAATATGTGGCCTTTTGTGTCTGGCTTCTTTCAATGTTTGTGCAGCATAAAATATTTTTGAAATTGATTCATGATGTTGCTGCACGTGTCAAGAATTTGCTCCTTTTTTACTGATGAGTAGTACTCTACTGGATGAATAACATTTGTTTATTCATTTACTGACTGATGGACTTTTAGGCTATTTCCAGTTTAAACCTACTATGAATACAGCAGCTATGAACATCTGGGTCTTTGTGTGGACATGTTTTTCTATCTCCTGGGTAAGTAGCAAAGAGATGGCTGCGTTGTATGGAAGATATGTACTTATTTTTCAAGTCAACTGCTGTGCTACTGTGCATGCCAATGAGCATGGTCTCAAATTTCCACTTGCTCTCCACCTTCCCTGGCATTTGATACAGTTAGGTTGGGTCTGCAGTACTAACTCACTGTGCTTAATCTGATGATGCTAAGCATCTTTCCATGTACTTCTTCACCATTATTATATTTTCTTTTCTTTCTTTCTCTTATTTTATTTTTATGGTACTGGGCCTACACCTTGGGCTACTCCAGCAGCCCTCTTTTGTGTTGGGTGTTTTTGAGATAAGGTTTTGAGAACTATTTGCCTGGGCTGGCTTTGAACCACAATCCTCCTGATCTCTGCCTCCATCCTGCTCTATCCTTGTATTTTCTCTGGAGAAGTTTCTGTTCAAATCTTTCATCCATTTAAAAAATTTGAGTTGTTTGCCTTATTACTGAGTTATAAAATTTCTTCATGTATTCTGTACACAAAACCTTTACCATATAGATTTTACCAGTCTGTGATTGGTCTTTTAATTTTCTTAATAATGTTTTCTGTACAACCAAAGTTTTAAATTTGACAAAGCTCATGTTCTTTTTGCATACTAAGAAGGCATTGTTCAACTGAGAGTCACAAGACAGGCACTCTATATCACTTGAGTCAAGCCTCCAGCCCTTTTTGCTCTGGAAATTTTTGAGATACAGACTTGCTTTTTGCCTGGGCTGACCTGAGCTATAATCCTATCTGTGCTTCCTGCTATAGCTAAAGTGACAGGCCTGTACCACAACACCCGGCTTTCGGGTGTTTGTGAGCTTTTTGGCCTACGTCCTAATCTTAGCCTTTTGAGCCACCGCACACAGCTTCTTTTAGAGGTTTATTCATTCATTCATTCATTCATTCATTCAGTGTGGGAACTCAGGGCTTCGTGTTTTGGAAGTTTTATAGTCTAAGTTTTATATGTTCCACCTCAATCTTATTTTGTGTATGGAGTAAGGTTAAGGGGTGAGATTAACTTTCAGAAAAAATCCATTACAAAAAACAATGGGGTGGGTGGGGGATGGGTGGCTCAAATGGTAAGAGCACCTGCCTAGCAAATGTGAGGCCGAGTTCAAACCATATTTTGAACACAGTGCTGCCACCCTCCTCCCCACAAAAAAAGAAGCTTGGAGCAAAACTTGTTCACTAATTTTTGCACTTATATACAACTTCACAACCCAACCCCTTCCCCATCTCTCTCTCTCTCTCCACACACCCCAGACTTCTTTCTTACTTACGGCTCTATCTCACTTGCATGCATCTTTCTAAATAAGGAGAAAGAAAATGTGTCTAGTATTGTTCTCTAATCTATAGTAACTGCTTGTCTACCATTCCATGAGGACATCTTCTGTATATTAACACACCATTAGTGTTTATATGCACCTTTAAACTTACCAATAAAGGTAGTCCTGATCCACTACCAGAACTCTGTGACTGGTCAATAAGGTCTTTTAATGATTCTCCTACTGGAATAAATGCTTCATCTTGCTCCAAATCACGATTGTAACGACGTCTGCTTGAGATGGTCTTACAATAATGTCTTTCAAAAAAGGCAGAAAACAATCTATATTAAGATTCTAAAAACTATAAAATTGTAAGCTAAGAAAAACCCTGAGGTTCTTCACAACATCATCTTTCCTTCAGAAGGGTTATCATACAAAAATATATCCTCTGTTATAGTATGTCAGGATATGTGGTTTGTGAGGTAGAATGCTCTGTGTCAGGTTAACATGTAGATACCCACAGTGTACTGGCAAGTGAAAGAAACAGATTGGTTAAAAAAAAAAAAAAAAAAAAAGACTGGGGATGGACTCAAAAGAATATGTAGCATAGCAATATTCACTTTCTACTATAAATGTGTGTGTGTGTGTATATATATATATATATTCATTTGAGACTATAACTATACTTTTGTGTTAAAAATATTGTATCTGCACTGAAACAAGAAAAGAATTTTGCACAATGTACCCTGACAGCCATAGTTCAGTAACTCCCAAAGTAGCTAGTATGAATGGTGCCCCAATACATATTTTTGTGCTTGTCTCCAGGTGCAAGTAAGTCAAGAATTTCTTGAAGGCATACAGACTCAATTTTATAGGTATTACCAACTGCATTCCAAAGTAAAAATTAGATTCTCACCAAAAGGATAGTATCACGGTATTTACTTCTCCACATTCTAACCTAAACTTTATTTTTTAATTGTGCTGGGGATACACTGTGGCATTTATGAAAGTTCTTATATCAAATATATCATACTTGAATTCACCCCTTCCATCATTCTCCTTTATTCCCCCTCCCCAACCTTTTGCCAATCTGGATGAGTAAGATTTAATCTGATTTCCCCTGATTATTAGTTGAAATTTACCTCTCAATTGTCTACTCATGTCTTTTGAGGGTTACTCAGTTAAGGTGTCTTAGATTCTTCTCCTGACTCTCAGGAGTTTTACGTACCATGTGGCCACTCCATCTTTGTATTTATGTGTTGCCACAACTTCCTCTTTGTCTGTGACTGTATGGCATTCTACTTATGGTATTTTTATGTCAGTTTTTAATTTAATGTAGTTAAATTAACCAGTCTTGTTTTCTGATATATGCTTTTGTGTCTAAGACAATCTTCCCAACCCTAATGTAAAAAATCATTCTCTCAAGGGTTTAAAATTTTTATTTTCTCATTTAGTCCTTTAATACATTTGGAATTTGTAACATGCAATAGAAACTAGGTATCAAACCAAAACAGATTTATTTCTCATATCAACAGCCCAATTTACTTAGCCATTATTATAATTTTATTTTCATTTTTAAAACTTTATATGGGTGAGCAGGTATGACAGTGAATTACCTGTAATGTTAGGACTTCTTCAGAGGCTAAGGCAGGTGGATCACAAATTCCAGATTAATATGAGCTACACAATGAATTCAGCTACACAATGAATACTATGGGCTACATAGTAAGAATGTCTCCAAATGAACACACACACACACACACACACACACATACACACACACTTTATATAAAAAAATGACTCAAATGGCTTGAAATTCGAAAGGCAGAAAAGGGTGTACAGTGAAAAAACCTCCCACCCATCTACAAGTCATCAAGTCACTTCCTTGGAAATGAGCTATTTCCCTCTTTCTCTAAAGAAATGGAGCAATTTCTTTCCTGAGTAATCTAAAGACCAATTATGCATATTCAAATAAAAACATAAATAGTGCTGTTAATCTCTCCTGCTGTTTCTTTTTTTTTCCGTTCTGCATGCTGCTTTTTCACTTGGCAATGTACCTGGGGTATCATCCCACAGCAGTACACAGAAGAGCCTCCTCCTTTAATGGGTAGACAGTATTTCATTGTATGGCTGTTAGCCATTCTCCTGCTGTTAACATTTGGACTATTTCTAGTTACTACATACAACTGTGAAATGAAACACTTTTCTGGCATTATCTGCAGTACCACTTACTAAAATCAGAGAGCTGAACCTGGAATTCTCATGGAAAGCTCTGCAGGCCTCCTTAAAGCTATTCCAGTTACACGCCCTTCACCAATATAACTGCCCACTTTCCCTATGCTTTCATTCACACCCTTGTGTCATAACACTTTTAGAAGTTAGTCTTTAAGGCAGTATTGGGGTTTGAACTCTGAGCTTTGTGCTTGGTAGGGAGGCACTCTACTACTTGAGCCTTATCTCCAGTCTGTTTACCCAGTTCTTATAGATGTGTGTGGCTTAGTAACAAAACAGCACTCCCCTATCTCTTTTCCTCCTCCCACCCATTTCAGAATCACAGGGTTGTTTTTTTGTTGTTGTTGTTTTTTTGAGACAGCATCTCCCTATGTAACCCAGGCTAGTCTTTAAACTCATGGTCCACCTACCTCAACCCTGATTTCATATGTGCACATCACCACGCCTGACAAGTAACATTTTTGTACTGGCATTTTTTGTTTTGCAGTGTTAGGCTCTAACTACTGACCTCATACTGTGGAAGCTGAGTATTTAACTCATCATTTAACACCCCCACAAGCCTTTCTAAAGAAGAAACATTTACATCCTCTCACCCACCCCAAGCTAGTTGTAGTGCATTACTTATTTAGATCAACATTCCAGTTTGCATTATGATGACTGTGTATGCTCTATCCCATATGGGCCTCACTGCACACTGTAATAATGTCTGTTTCCTGCACAGCCTCTTGCCTCACAGAGCATAGGCAATGTCCATTACTTCTGAGGGATGAGTAGAAGCAAAATCTCTCTGCCTCTGGGGGTAGGAGGGGACATGTGTTCGAAATGCTCTGTCCTTGATGGAGAGGGATCAAACAAAGAGGTTATCTCTGGAGAGGGTAGGAAACTGCTGCCCAAAATCAACCACAAATGGATGGCATAATCTGGCTGCCTGGGGAGGAGGCATGGGAACCCTGAGAAAGCCTCATCCGTAATTAAGGTCTTGCAACACAGAAGCCCCATCTGCTTTTCAACTGTCTCTCACCATGTACTACACCTAATAGCAGATAAGAACAAGGGGAGAGACCTTCAGTGGTGCAGACTAGGCAGTGAGAGGTGAAAGCAGGAGCACAGAGAAAAACTCTGTCTCTGCACCCAGACCCCCAGTCCAACCAGTATTAAGGGTTAAAAGACCTATCAAAAAGGATTCTATGCCAAAGGAAAGTACAAGGAACTGGCAGAATGGTACGGAAATGTTAACTCATCTAGAATGAAGGAAGGTGATGGTTAGAAAGGAGGCTTTGGAGAAGTTATTGACTTTGATGATCATGTTGTTATGAAAGAAGAACAAATTTGCAGATTTATCTAGATAGGAGGAAAACAGTCATCAGAAAATAGTAAAACAAAACATTAATGAGACACTTGCTAGATACAAACACCAATATGTTTAAAGACCTATCATTAAACTTTAACCTTTTTTTTGGCAGTACTGGGATTTGAACTCAGGGCCTCACACTTGTTAGGCAGGTACCTTACCATTTAAGTCATTCCACCAGCCCTAAACTTTGATCTTATCCTTTTATGGTTTGCTACAGATAGCAAATTATGATTTGTTGAAGTCCAGCTAAATATGAATAAATATCCAAATTACTAATCATATATCAGATTGACAATGGATCTTTAAGATAAAACTAGCATGTGAAGTTCAAAAGCTAGATAAACAGAGCAGTCATGAGGTTCTCTGTAGTATTGCTTTAAACTATGAAAGAAGTCTACATTACCAGATCCTGATATTTGTGAATTTCATGATGTAGGTGTCCATAGCTTGACTCTGAGAGGAAAGTTCTTCCTGGCTGTTCTTCGAAGACATAGCTAATTTGTGTCAGGGACACCCTGATCTCCCTTTCCAGAGCAGTTCATTCTTCTGTGTGGATCCATGTTTCCACCCGCACAATTGTCCCTCTGCCTGTCCATTAATAATACTTCTTGTGATGCAGGTCTGCTGGTAATGAATTCTTCCAAGCTTCTGTATGTCTCAGTCTTTATTTGATCTCTGATTTGAAAGATATTTTCTCTTGGTACAGAGTTTCAGGTTCATGATTTTTTCCTTGGGTACTTTAGATGTTGGTCCACTATCATCTTTTTTGTTTTTGGCCTTACACACACATGCCAGGCAAATGCTCTACCACTGAGCAAAACCTCCAGCTCTCTACTATCTTCTTGATTACATTGTTTACAATGAAAAAACCTGCTGTCCATCTTCACTGATGCATCTCTATAAAATCTGCCCTTTTCCCTTTGCACATTTAAGATTTTCCCCTTATCATAGGTTTTGAGCAATACGACTGTATTTACCTTGGTGTATTTTTCTTTGTGCTTTTTTATATTTATAGTCTACTGAGCTTTTTGGATTTACGGATTCCTAGTTTTCACTGAATTTGTAAGTTTTGGTCATTGTTTCCTAAGACATTTTTTGTCCTTTTCTTTAGGGATTCTAATTTATTTAACTGTATTAGGCCATTTGAAGTTATCCCACACCTCACTGGCACTCTTTATATCTACAAAAAAACTTTTTGCAGTTACTATTGATTGCTATGCCTCCATGTTCATTCACCTTTTCTTCTGTAGTGCCTATTCTGTCATTAATCTTACCCAGTGTGTATTTTATCTCAGATGTTACAGATTTCATTTCCTGAAAGCTTCATTTGGGTCTTTTAAAAAAATCTTCCATGCCTCTAAGTTTCTGATAAGATAAAAATAGTTATAATAACTATTTTAATGCTATTGTCTGCCAATTCTAAAATCTGTTATCAGCTCTAAATTGGTAGTTTTGATTGCTTAATTTTTTTCTCTCCTTACAGGTCTTATTTCCCTACCTCTTTGCATACCTGATATTCATTGACTGGATAGCAGATATTATGTTGTATGCTGGATATTTTTGTTTTCCCATAAATACTCATGAGCTTTGTTATTCAGAAATGGTATGATCCTTTTAGGTCTTTTTTTTGGCGGGGGGCTTTTACAGGAGTTTGAAATCGGGGACTTGCACTTGCAAGGGCAGGTGCTCCACCACTTGAGCCATGTCCCCAGCCCTTTTTGCTACAGAATAGGGTCTTACGTTTTTGCCCAGGCCAGCCTGGACCACAATCTTCCTATTTATACTTCCCACATAGCTTCGATGACAGGGATGTACCACATCATGCCCAGCTTACTGGATGAGATGGGGTCTTGCTAATTTTTTGCCCATGCTGGCCTCAAACTGCCTCTTAAATAGCTGGGATTGTAGGCATGAGCCACCATACCTGGCTTGGGTCTTGTTTTTAAGATAGGACCAGAGCCATATTTAGTCTAGGGCTAATTCTCCACCACTAAGATAACACCTTTCTGAGTACGCTAACAAAGCCTGTTGATTATGAGGTTTCACAACTAGTGGAATAGACTACTCCCAGCCTTGTATGAACACCAAATACTGCTTCCTTGCATCATTTCAGGTGTTTTATTCCCAGTCTTGGATGGTTTCCTCAGAGGCACGTGCTAACAGTCTTCAGCTGAATACTGGATGGGGAACATCTACAGAGCTTGTCTTTACCTGCAAGGCTCTGTCCTCTCTTATATTCTGTCCTATGAACTACAGCTACTGTTGTCTCCTGGACTCTCAGCCATATCTCCTCAACTGAGAGTCAGGTGTACTACTCCTGGGCTCCTGTGTCCTGCAGCCAGAGGCTCTATGCAGGCAGTACTATGGGCAATTTTAAGGCTCACCTCCTTTGTTTCCTTCTTCTCAGGGATCAGTACCAAATCACTGATATTCTGACTGGCAGCTGTTAGTGTATTTGCAGGGATTACTGATTACCAACTTCACTGTAAGATAATCTGCCTAGGCCATTTTACTGGACCCTAATAGCAGTACTTTTATATCTTTTTTCCTAGGCTGCAAAGATTTCCCTAAGAATCTCCCTATCTGTTGTTTAGAGGATATAGGCTTGGCTGACAGGATTCTGGGAAGGCCGAGGGAGCCCATCAATGAGTATGTAAAATCATACATTCTTGTTTTCATTATATGCCTCACCCCCAACAATGGGGGGTACTACAGTTGAGAAACCATGTTTTTGTTCTTTGCAGAGAATGCACTAACAGAATGCCTTCTGTTAGCCTTCTATTAGGGAGATGGTGCAGAAGTAACATGGCTATTCGGAGTTGGAGAGCAGCAGAGTTTTCAGCATCTGAAGTAAGCTGCATCCTGAACAGTCTACAATGCCCCTCACCTCCTTATGTTCATGCCCTTGTTTAGTCCCTCTCATAACACAGCAGGGCTGATCTGCAGGACCAACAGAATACAGCAGAAGTCACAGTGTGACTTTTGAATCTAGATCATAAACAGCATTTCAGCTTCCACCTTGGTCTCCTGGATCTCTTACTGTGGGGAAGCCAGGTGTTGTTATGTGAGAACACTTAGAGAGGCACTAAGGTCTCCTGCCAAAAATCCAGTCTGCAACTTGTCAGTCTTGGAAGTGAGCCACCTTGGAAGGTGATCTTCCAGCTCCAGTCTGGCCTTCAGATGAGTGTAGCCTCAGCTGACATCTTACTGGAAGCTCATGAAAAAACCCTGGCACCTAGTCAAGTCACTCTTGAATTACTGATCCTCAGAAACAGTGAGATACTAACAATAATTATTGTTCTATATTGGGTTTTTTTTTTGTTGTTATTTTTTGAGCTACAGTCTTGGTTTGTTGCCCAGACTAGCCTTAAAACTCCTGGGCTCAAATGATCATCCAACCTCAGCCTGATAAGTGCTATTTTGAGTCACTAAATTTTGGAGTGAGTTGTTAACACTGTTGGAAAATACAGCATCTGACTTTCTGAAAATAGATTTCAAGCAATCACCTTGATTATACTGTCAGTAACTGCAACTGCTAATTCCTAAGTTTCTTTGGAGGGAGGTGGAATTCTATGGTGTAATCTTCAATTTCTAGCCAAAAATTCAGATTTTTGGGATTTGCACAGTCACTACTCATCTACCTGGCTTTATACACTACAAAAGTTTTTAATATATATATTTTACCTCTTGTTCTTGGGTTAGATAGAGAAATTAAAAACTGCTATCTTAGTGGGGTAGTAAAAAATGAGTATGCACAACCTGCAACCTTTATCTAAAAATATCTTTGACAAATGTGAATCCTTGACAGTATAAAAGGTAAAAAACAGATCTCAAAGTGATCTCGTAGTTTTCATGTTATATTCTTGAGTGTCCTTTTTTTAAGGGTGACACATGTATTTTATATATAAATCATGCTCATTTTTTAGTTTATTTCCCAGTGAATTAATTAGGTATTTTTCCTCTTTATTTGTGAAATCAGCCGTTTGTAATATGAGCTGCCAATATTCTTCACTTGAAGTCTGTCTTCTAACTGCTTTTGGTGATTTTTGCCACACAGGAAAGTTTTATTTTTATGTAGGTAACACTATTTTATCTATCTATCTATCTATGCACCCACCTACCTACCTGCTTAGTTCTTGTTAAATATTTTGTCAGACTCAGAAAGGTCTTCCAAACTCTGATAGACTTGTAATACCTGTAATATATGTATTGTTCTGATCTGGCTCAAATACACTCCAGTGTAGAGAATTGTTCCCATTTCATTTTTTTCCCATATGGCTACCAAATCTATTTTTTATAAAATAATGCATCTTTTCCTCAGTAATCTGAAATGTTTACTAAATTTCTTTATGCACATGGGTTTACTAATCTGTTTCACTGATATCTCTACTTTATTCCAGTACAACAATGTTTTATTACTCAAGTTTATATTCAGTAGGGGCTGTTTCTTATTAGTCTTCTTTTTAGCTGTTCTCTGAAATCAAGACTAAGTGAGAACACTTCTGAAGCCCCAAATTACTAACCTATAAGAAAGTTGGTTTCTAGTGACAGACTATAAATATTCAGACAAAAACAAAGCTCACTGCTCTACAAACAAGAGAATCATGAATATTCTTGAACACAGAAGTCTAAGATTGTGTTCAATTAATTAGTAGTTAAGGTCTCTCTTTTCTTATAGGAACTATAATCTAGTTAAAGAGACATAACCAGAGAGCATAAGCTAATGATTTTTGAATTGCAGACAGCAGTCAGCGGTTTCTGCCTACTGGCTTTAAAAACAATTGTTGATATAAAATATTTAACAAAATACTTTGCATCAAAACAAATACTTACTTGTAACAAAAGCAGCTGGAGAAGATAATCATAGCAATTATGCAGAGAGCCATGGAAATGAGTACAACCAGCCATCGAATGCTACCATCAAAAAAGGGACCTGATAATGGAAGTCAACAATGAAATAAACACAGCATCTTTCTACCACATCTCATTAAAAGGAAACAATTAAATTCTAGGTAGCTTGGTTATTGTTAGAAGCTGACTTGTCTCAGCTTACCTACCTATGACAACAGGGGGCAGTGTAGGTTGTAAATACTGGTTACATAAATTGGTCCGACAACATTCTATTGTCCGGCGAAGCTGGGCTTTTGGTGAATCCTGGAAGAAGAGTAATTGTAAAATAAGAACTGGTTTGCTGTATCAAATCGTAATGAGATCTTTTTAATACTGATAAAATACAATGTCTAATTGAAAAGGAAATTTAAATTTTATGTGTTAAAACCTTATTGAAAAATTAAAATCTGAGCTGACATGCTATTGCCAAGACTGTAAAGTGGTTTTCTTAAGGAGAACAAATATGTGGATGGGGTAGAACACCAGACTATAACTTAAATAAAGATGAACAAAAAATCTTTACTATTTTTTTAATCCCAAACTTGGGGTTTTCTTTCTTTGGTGGGACTGGGGTTTAAACTCAGGGCTTCACATTTGTGAGGCAGGTGCTCTACCTCTTGAGCCACAACTCCAGTTCATTTTGCTGTGTTTATTTTGGAGCTGGGGTCTCTTGAACTATTTGCCCAGAAACCTCAAACTGTGATCCTCCCGACTCAGCTTCCCAAGTAGTTAGGATTACAGATGTGAGCCACAGTGCCAGGTCTGGTATGTTTCAATAAACTACCATTCTGTTGCTTTTAGTAAAATAAAAAAAGTCATTGTATCTTTTCCTAGAAAACATGGGTAGTGATTTTATTAGAATCAGAAACCAGGAAAATATGATCTCACAGTAGTACTGAGACTTAGATGAAATTTAAGATTGGGCTAAAAAGGAGGAGAAGCCTAGTCTTTAAAGAAAAAAACAAAACTGGTTGAGAGGTGGCTGAGTAGGTAGAAGATACTGTAGATTCTGCATCTAACAATTATGTTGGAAATTAACGAACTCAAATGGAAACAAGTTGAAGCATGTAGGTGAGGGGAAAGGCAAAATAAAAAGACAACAGTCTTCAGAATTTTTTAGAGATGACCAACCAGATACGTGATACACCCTGAAAAGATCAGAAAACCAGTACAGAAAAAGTCATGAGAACAGACATCAACAACTACGTATTGACATTTTAATTAATCAAAAGTTTGATATCAAGCAAGTTAAATACTGTCATTTCAGCACTATCTGGGATAAGTGTCATTCTGGACCACAATCCTAATAGAAACTATTATTATGAAAATAACAAGAATACAGAATTAGCCAAGTTATTCTCAAATATCAGATAGTCAGAAAGGAAAAGCCTCAGTATAATCAGGTATACCTTAAATAGGTGAACATGAGTCTATGACTTAAAATTCCATCTGGGAAAATGGTCAAGAGCATTTGGAAATTTCCAAATGTATCAGTTCTACATTTTAACTGAAGTTTTACTTTTTAAATAATTTTGCCTCCTTTGGAATAAACATCAAAGAGAGATATGTTAATGGTTATAGTAGAGGTTCTGCAGTAATCCCAGATCTACAAAAAATTTACATGAAGGATGAAATGAAGGCTGAATAATTAAAGATGAATAAAAGTGCCAAGAGTTAAACAGTTTCAGGCAGGCTAAAATGAGCTTAGCCTTGCAGAAGGGAAATTGCAAAGAAAAACCAAGGAAGGACATCTTTGTCAGTGCAGAGAGAAAGATCACTAAGCAATAAATATACTGCTCACGTAACAGTGGATATTGTGGGGCAAAGACATACAATTCTTCAACCCGTTTTGTCTCTGTCTGTTCTAACAAGGCAATTACAGGAATGAAGGCAGACTAAACACCAGGCAGTGGAAATTGAGATTCAAGAGGCATGAAGAGATCTTACAATGTGTTTGCATTCTACATGAGTTCATATCTTCTAACCTAGGTGAGTTACATTCCAGAAAGATAAGGACACTTATAGTGTGATGGCTAAAAGACAGGTATGACATAAAGATTCTGGAGACAGGGAGTGTGAGATATTAGATAGCTAGATGTCATATGACTTCTTTGTAAAGGGAAAAGAAAGGCTTTGCCAACAAATTGAAGGCAGCATGACATCAGGGAAAAAGCAAGAACTTTATAATCAAACAGTTTAAATCCTAGCAACGTCCGTTGTTCACTTTGTTACTTTGAACATCTAACTTCTCTCTGGGCTTCAGTTCTCTGTGCTTAAAAATACAGAATAAAAATGATCTCTCTTACAGAGTAACTGGGAGGTAACAAGGTAGAACAATGCCAAATATGTGGCATACTAAATGCAAATAGTAAATAGTCAATGAATTAATTCTGGTGAGTTTGATATAAATCCCAGCTGAGATTCTACAATTAGCCAAAAAAACTTGGGCAGCCTCAAAGACCCAGGGTGGCTTCACCAAAAAATGATCACTAGCAGACTCATCTCTTATCTTTCTTCCACAAATTAATGATGATTTATCTGGTGGTCAAAGTACTGTCTAGACTATGGAGTGGGTGACACAACTTTTCTCTTTCCTGTACTCTCCATCTCTCATTTTCCACTCAACTCACTCTGCAGGATTTACCTGGGGAATAAAAAATCCTTGTGGGGAAAAATTCACTTGACATTTATGAAGTGGGAGATTCTAGCTTAAGCAAACATTTTGTGTGCTTGGGCAGAAAATAGTGCATGAGGAAGAAACTGAAACCAAATTACAAGGAATGGTAGAGGGGTTTCTGAGAAATAACTCATTAAACAGGAAGATGCAAATTTACTAGTCAGAGGGCTGAGGTGGCAGCAATGCAAAGCACGGTGGTTATCACCTGCAGCTATTTTGATCCATACCTAGCAGTATGTATGAAGATGTGGGAAAGGCTTAGGGGAGATCAAAAGAGCTGTTCTGGGGGTCAGGTGCTGGTGAATGGCAGCAATGTTTACCAAAATATACCAAACAATTTTTTAAAAAATAATCCATTATGTGCATATTTTTAGGATGTCATCTAAATTTTTCTTTTACCGTAAGTTTATTGCTGTAAAAAATACACTAATAATTTCTATACATATATAATGACACTTTAATTTATGCAGTAGAATCTAGGCAGCAATGTTTACCAAAATATACCAAACAATTTTTAAAAAAATAATCCATTATGTGCATATTTTTAGGATGTCATCAAATTTTTCTTTTACCGTAAGTTTATTGCTGTAAAAAATACACTACTAATTTCTATACATATATAATGACACTTTAATTTATGCAGTAGAATCTACTCAGCAGAGCAATTTGATACCAATTCATGTTTTCTTTTTCTTTTTTTTTAAGGCACTGAAGTTTGAACTTCAGGCCTTGTGCTTGCTAGGCAGGTGTTCTACCACTTGGGCCACACCTCCAACCCTTTCTAGCTTTAGTCATTTTTCAGGTATGGTCTCTTGTTTTTTGCGCCAGCAGGCCTCAGACCATGATCCTCCTACTTATGATCTCCTGAATAGCTGGGCTCACAGCATGTGCCACTACTCCTTGACTTGTGGTAGCTCACCAACTTTTTCCACAGCTGGCCTCAAACCATATCCCTCTATCTCTGCCTCCTGAGTAGCTGGGATTACAAGTGTGAGCTATAGTGCGCGGCCCTCTAAAATGTCTTTTTTTGGTGTGGTGGCACTGCGACCTGAACTCAAGGCTTTCTCCAAATGTCATCATTTTAAACACATAAATGAACAAATGCTTCTTTTAAAAACTGGAAATTTTATAGAACTCTTCTTTCAATACCTCCCACAATGAACATTCCTTAATGTAACATATTTTAGTATCTAATTCTCCACATCAAAATAAATAATATAAATATTTCCTGTAATGTTTTCAAATCTTAAAAAAATCTGGTTTATCACTGTAATTATTAGCATAAAATTTATCGAAACAATATATTGTAATCTTTATTAAAATATTAACATTTTATTAGAAAAGGCATCACTTGTTTATTTACATAGGGACTCCCAGGCTAGCCTGGAACTCATGATCCTCCTGCATCAGTCTCCCAAGGGCTGGGATTATAGCTGTGCAACCAGCTAGAAAAGGTATTTCTTTTCTCTTTTGCAATCGTGGGGTTAGCCACACCACCAATTCCTGAGGAAATCTTATTAAGATGGATGGGATTTGAAAAAGTTAGTTAACCAATTCATGGATAAATATTACTTATTGTTATAATGACAAGATTCAGCACCAATTTTATTTCCATTTTCTTTCTTTCTTTTTTTTTTTTTTTGGTGACACTGAGTGCCTCACACTTGCTAGGCAGGTGGTCTACCCCCTGAGCCACCATGTGGCCAGCCCTGTTTTGTGCTGGGGATTTTCAAGACAGGGTCACAAGAACTATTTGCCCAGGCTGGCTTCAAACCAAAATCCTTCTGATCTCTGGCTCCCAAGTACCTAGGATTATAGGTATGAGCCACTAGCACCAAGCCCGTTTTTCCTTTTTTTTTTGTTGCTGGTCATTGCTAAGACATTTTGTTGACATAAACAAAACAATACAATGGAAGTAGTTTGTTATGCCATTGTTCTATTATTCTTTAAAGTCCTTCCAAAGCATATGCTTATCCCAAAATGATCCTATACCAAACATTATCTTTGATTATCTAACAATTTGGCTGAAAGCAATTTTTAAGTGATTAAAAAGTGTTTAGTATGTATGGCTGATAATATGTTAATGGTATAAAACTAAATCAGCATCCCTCAAATCCCAACAAATTAGAGGAAAAGACTTCTTTCGGGGGAGGTGATACTGGGAGCCGAACTGAGGGCTTCCTGCTTGCTAGGCAGGGGCTTTACCTCTTGAGACACACCCCAGCCACAGGACATATTATACGATGAAATTTAATGTAGACAAGTACGTGACAACTGTATAGCAAAACCATTCTATTCCCATCTACTTATTTGTATCAAGAAACCCATATCACCAATAAAGAATGGAGGAGGTATGGCTCAGCAGGAGCCTGAATGAAACATGGGGATTTTGGTTGACAGAAATTCAAAGACTTAAAAATATGGCATGAGTGTCAAACATCTAATGTAAAATGCGGCTGTATTTAGGAAAAGTTAAGGGGTATTCTCTGCTTTTTTTCCTGGTAATACCATGCTCAATTCTGCACATCATACTTAGAAACTAGAGAATGAATGGTCAAGTTGATCAAATAAGGGGCAGCTGAGGTCACTAGGCAAAGCCTAGAGGACATGAAGTAGGATGGAAACAACTTTCTTTGCATTCTGAAGAACTACCATTTTCAGGAGGGATTAGATCTGTATTCTATGATCCAAAGAGTTAGAGAAGAAGACAGATTTGTAGTCATTTTCCCAGTGGGTGACTTAAACTGAGAGTGGAAATACGTAATATTGAAGGTTTCTATCAATCCTGAAAATTTCTGAATAATATGAATAACTTTCTGGCATAGCTGAGACTTACCTGGAGCTTATCTTAGTTCTACCTGGAGCCGTTTTTCAAAAACATTGGCATGATCAGAAAAATCACCAAAGATAATTTTTAAGAGATCAGGTTTGTAATCAGAGCCATGACAACATTCATAACTCTGTTACCAATCCTCTGATTCCTTAGCCACTGCTCTGGAAGTGACTATATAGACACCTCCTCATGAGGATTTAGGATTTCTAAGCTGCTTTGGGGGAACAAAGGTTATGCTCATCATCTTAAAATCTTCTCAGTAAACTTTATAATCTGCAAAAAGGTTGACAATACCACTTTTTGCAGCAATGACAACCTAGAATAATTTATAACTTTTAAAATAAAACAATCTGAAACTTTAATTAGCTAATCATATTACTCGCTTACACAAACACACAGCAGGCACACTTCTCCCAGGGACTCAAGGCTGTTCACAAGAACTCGCCCTTCTTTATTTCATGGGTACCAAATTATATCTCACCTTGCACTGAAAATCTGATCCTTCATATTTCATACATCCAGAAGCTAAGGTGGTTTCTCCCTGGTCATCTTCTTCTATAATGGCAAAGCAATGCCCATTAGTTCTAAAAGAGAAAAAAGAAAATCAATGTAACTTCACATCAAAAAGTACTGAAGAGCCAGGTGTAGTGGTACATGACTGTATTATCAGTACTCAGAAGACTGAAGCAGGAGCAGTATGAGTTCAAGGCCAGTGTGGGGAACATAATGACATTATTTCAAAAAAAAAAAAAAGGATTAAAGAAATAGGAGTTTGAGTATGGCCTTGTTTTTTAATTCAAATTGCTTTCTCATGTGCTTTACTAGCAAAACCAAATAGGACACCGGCCCTCAGTGGTACTGGGGATTGAACTCACGGCCTCACAATTAAGCCATGCCCCCAGCCCCCCTAAACTGGTTTTAAGGCAAATGAAAGTTGTTATGTCTGAACTAAGATCTAAAAGGCTAGTGAAAAACTTATGTCAAGAGGAAAAAGGCTTCTATTAAGCAAGTCCTCCACATCTGCACTAGTATGTAATCTCTTTGGTAATCAGTCATGGGAACACAAAAACCTGACTTATAAAATTTTGTTGTCATAATGTTTCAAAAATATACTTTAAATATTTTTATCTATAACAGTTTTGTATTCACATACTGTACATGACAACAGATCAACACAAACTTTTCTGTGAAACATACAAACAGATTCAGTGACAAAAGTGTACATGGGAAGAACAGATAACCAAGATTCTGAAAGACCCTTTTTACTGAGTGTGATAGGAAATCAGGGAAAAGTTTTGCACAGTTGAATTTTAAAGAAACTTAAGTAAGCATGTTTCTATTTAATGAAATGTTACTTAAATACTAGTATTCTTGATGAACCATCATATAATTTCAAGATTCCAACCTTAAGTTTTATGCACTATACCTAGTCCATTCAAAGAGCACACAATTTTTACGAAAGTATTAAAACATGACCTTTAAAGTATTAAAACATGACCTTTATTATTGTCTCTGTAAGAAAGAGACAATTAAGTGACTAGATAGTACTAAGTTGTCCAGGAAAGTATTTTTTTTTGTCTAGTAAGTCAATTCTTCAATGTCCCCAAAGAATGTGGAACAGAATTGCATGATTAATGTGTTCAATGGTTAACATAAAATTAAACAGAAAAAATAAAAATAGTTATATCAATCAGATTTGAACTGGAATTTCAAAGGTAAGAAAGTAGCAAAATTAGTAACAATATCATTCTTATATGTCTGTTAAATATTTCAACCAGTTAAGTTTGGGGTAATGTTTTTTGGTAATTTATAAAAAGGAAAGTTTTCTACAATGAGTAGAACTTTATGATTAAAAGGTCAGTAAACAAACTCAGAATGTTAAGCAAACACCACACTCCTTTTGTCTCTTTTAAAAAACTAAGTCTCTCCCAGCACCTAAATGAATGAGTGAATACGACTGGGGATGTAGCTCAGTGGTAGAACACTATCATGCACAAGGTCCTGAGTTTAATTCCCACCACAACAAAAAATTAAAATAAGCTGTACCATGATATAACTAATAAAATGATCATCAATCTTATCCTGGGAACAATGTTCTCGTATTTAAGACAAGAAGCCTTTGGCTCCTAGGAAAGATACCAGCAATAAAGAAAGGGAAAACTCAATTTTTAACAATTCTTAAAATAGTACTAAATGTAGCGCTCTTCTCCTAACTCATAAGGACTCCACCAGATACTTACATGCATGTGTTATTAATAGCATCATCTGGGCAATGTCCAGAGCAATAGCACTTTAAAAAAGGCAAGGTATCTTCTGGTGCTAAGGTCGCGCCATTTTCTGACTTCTTCTGGTCGGAGTCTGATTTCATCCCAGTGCCATGAAGCATACTGTCTAGATTCTGCCCTGTATTCAAAAATTGGAATTTGTAAATATATCACTTCTGAAAAGCTAATTGTTTGATTTTAATTTTTAATGAGTTAAGTTTCTAAGCTTATCACAGTAACTACAGCTAATGTACTTCTTTAAAAGTAAATTCATTCACACAATTAACATTTATTTATAAACTACCATGCATACAATTACAGTACCAAATATTGTGGGCTATATAGAGAGGGCTATGTTACAAATTTTGCACTAGTGAGAGACAAACAAGAATGCCACAAGGTAGAACATGGTATGAGACAGATCAAGGGGACTCATCTCTCCTAAAGGTACATGGCTAGGAGTTAAGCCCTGCTGAGAACGTTAATTTCACCAGGGTTTTTTGGGTGGGGTAATGTGGCCTGGGGTTTAGACTCAGGGCTTGCGCGCTCTATGGCTTGAGTTACGTCTCTGCTCTCCTTGCTCAGGGCACTGTGGAGATGTGGGTCTCTCAAACCATTTGCTGAGGCAGGCCGCAAACTGCGACTCTCTAGATCTCAGCCTCCCAAGTAGTCAGGATTACAGGCATAAGCCCCTGGCACCTGGCTCCATAACAGGTTCTGCCCTCTAAAGAAACTAATCTTGCCAGGTGCAAATGGCTCAATACCCGTAATTCTAGCTACTTGGGAGGCTGAGCTCAGGAGGATATCGGTTTAAGGCCAGGCCGGGTAAATAATTCTCGAGACCTCATCTTCAAAAAACCAGAGCAAAATGGGCTGGAGGTGTGGCTCAAGTGAGTACTTGCTTTACAAGCATAAAACCTTGAGTTCAAACACCAGTCCCACCAAAATAAATAAGTAAATAAAAACACACAAATGATGATTCCCTTTAACTCTTTAGTTCAAGAATTGTGACAATTTTTCTTCTTTTTTATTTTATTTTTTAAAGTCCTTTATGTGTGGCTCTATGTGAAAAAGGAGTTATTAAGCACCCTGCAATGAATGTTTAAGTGTTGGAACTATAACAGCACAGGGACCAACTGTGTTATCTGGAGACTTTCATCTTAAGGTCATTGGTTTGAATCCAGACCATGTGGCTAAAAAATGAAAGCTGCTACAGGCCTATGGAAATAGAACTGGGCTCTTGCATTAGTCTAGTGGCCTCAAATGATAGGAACTTCTGTCATACACGGTACTAGATTTTTGTAGGCTAGCAGCAGAACAGAACTAAAACAACTATTTTTGTAATTCCTTCTTCCCTCATAATCAGCTAAAATCACCCAGCATTCCTTGTGGGTGCTCTCAAGAGAATGAAAGGTAGAGCCAAAACAGCCAAGGGATACACGAATTTCATTATAAATGTTAAGTAAGTGTTCAAGAATGTAGATGACTTTTTATATTATTTGTGTTTATTCCTTAATGTATTTTAAAGTAGAGAAGAGTTTTAAAGTTCAGCCTTGAGTACTTAGTACCCTGTGTTTTAGGCACTAAGTTTTGTGCCTTATATACTTGATCTCACATGATCCTCACAGGACCAGATGCTCTCTATCACACTGCCTGTGTTATCCATAAGAAAACAGGTTCAGAGAGGCTGCGATTTAAAAAATACTTGAAAAGGTTTCTATCCCAACCAAATTCAAAAACTGTTTGCTCTCTGCCTCTGAAAAGCTGTGCTGGTATACTAGGTATGTTTAGAAAGGAACATCAGTTGAAAGAACACATGGAAGAGAAAGTACTTTTTATATACAAAAATGACTTATTAAAACAAGTCAATTTACCTTGAATATGAGAAATGACGAACAGATAGGCTCCCAATAATCTGATGTAAATATATGGCTGAGTCATCGTTTTAATGTTTCCTATACACTGGTCCTGTTATTTCACTAATTTAAATAACTTTACTAAATGATGTTTTCTTGTAGAAGGCCACAATCACTAGGCAATGACTTCACCCCCTTTGCTTTCTTCTGACTCCTAAAAGACAAAAATATTAACAAGGTAATAAACAGAGTTTTGGAAAGTTTTCCAAAACAGAGGAAAATAAATACCAAACATACTTTTAAATGATAAAATACATTTCTGAAGACTAAAGATGTCCCTATTTAAAATAAAACACACACACACACACACACACACACACACACACACACACACACATCAATCAAGGCACTGTAAGGTCAAAGCTTAATTACTTTAGATCAGCCCAGAGAAATACACTAAATAAATTTCAACAGGCCAGCAATGTCATGCATCTGCAGTCCCAGTTACGTGGGAGGCTGAGACAGGAGGACTGCTTGTATCCAAGGAATCTGAAGCAAGGCTGGGCAACACAGTGATACTCCAGCTCCAAAGAAGAAAAATCAAAAGAAACCTCAACAGTCTTTACTGGCTGCCCTAAAGTGATTAAGTTATTTTATTATTATCAAGAATGTTCCAGGCGGGTGTGGGGGCACTCAATAGTAATCCCAGCATTTGGGAGGCTGAGGCAAGAAGACTGTGAATTGAGGCCAGCCTGGGCTAAAGAGCAAGACCCTGTCTCAACACTCCCACCTACCCCCCAAAAAAACCCCAAAGTTCCTTAGTACATTAAGACTAAAACTGAAAAAGTTGAATTTAAAATATAAGCAGTTCATCAATATTCATTCAAATTCAGGTGGATGTAATAAAAACTTTGATGGGGGGAGGATAAAGCATTAAACTTTGATGGTGGAGGGGATGAATTCAAGTCTGATATATTTGGTATGTTGTAAGAACTTTTGTAAATGACAATGTACCCTCATCCAGCACAATAAAAAAGAGAGAAAAGAAAAATACTTTGACTCTAATAATTTATCCACACACAGAAAACAAAGCTTACCTAGAAAATTACATGTATTTAAATGAGCAGCACATTGTGTCTATTATTAATATAGACAGTGAACATTTAAAAGACCTCAAAGTAAAAAAGTGACTAAACAAATAACAGGGAAAAAAGGCTAGCTACACCAAGATGAATTCTTGTTTTGTTTTCCTTTTTGTGTGGGGTGGAAGTTTGGTTTTATTGACCTAGGTCTGAACTATTCCTGAGTAAAAAAGGTTATGCTTATTTAGGACATAATTACCCTAAATAACCTTAACTTTCTATATTATCTAAGAATTTTTCACTTTAGTTCTCCAAAGATTATTTACAATATTGAGGCAGATATGGTTTAGAGAGAGGTGCCATTTTTTGCTGGGGTGCAGGGATGAGAGGGTGTGACTAGCATGTGAACTCAGGCTTCATGCTTACAAAGTAGGTGCTCTCTATGAACTCAGGCTTCATGCTTACAAAGTAGGTGCTCTCTACTGCCTGAGCCACACTCCAATCCATTTTGCTCTGGTTATTTTAGAGATGGGGTCTTGAGAACTACTTGCCTAGGCTGGCCTTGAACCTTAATCTTCCTGATCTTTTCCTTATCTTTATAACCAAAATGATACTTGTTAGCCCATAGCTATTTTGAGAACGAAGTGTTAACACAGTCACCTCTGTTGGCAATAATGGCGCCGATGGGTTTCGGTTCTTACTGAACCCTTAAGCTTCTGTTTCCCAGGGTCATAGTCCTCCTCAAGTCTAGCTTGAATTCTCCTTCTGCCCCAACCTCCAACCAGCAGGAACCATAAGATCCTAACCAATCAGATCATGCCAAATCTCACTGAGGGGTAAGCCCCTGCCCCCTTCCCCCCCCTCACATCTCAGCTCTCTCCTTCTCCCACCCGGCAATAAAGAATCTCTTGGCCAGATCACTCCTCTCCACATGGTCACTTTGGGGCCTACATTTGCCTACAACCTCTACCTGCACCATTATAAATGCCTTACTAAAATTAATTTATAGGATCATTACAACTCAAGTAGGCTTTGAGGACTTTTATCAAAGATCACATGGCTGATAAGTGATTGACAGGGTTATAATTCAAAAAGAGGTTTGATACTAGACTCCACACATTAACTGCTTGCTCCTGGTATTGCCTAGCTGGATATGTACATCACATAATGTAAATACATGCATTTAGGTATTGAAGATTTTGTGGTGGTACAGGGTTCAGTCAAAGTTCCCTCCTCTCCATACTTGTTTGTAATACCTATGGCTAGCATAGGTACTGTCCCTGATAATCCCATCTGTGAGAAATTCTTATAAATTAAAAAACTTGTCATATGGAGAACAGCCACCAAATCTTAGATGACTAAAAACTCAATACATACATATACTTACAACAATTGCTACAACATGAATGCAATCTTACCAAGCATTAATAAAACACATTGCTATAATTAAAGATGGTAACCACCTTATGTTGGGTCTGGAGACCTAAGGCAGATGAGTGAGTATCCCATTCCCCATGGAGAGCACTACCATTCCTGCATCCTGAGGAGATGGAGGCCTGCATTCCTGCATCCTAAAGGAGAGATACAGACCTGCCACAGGGCTGATGAGCAATATGCTCTTAATATTGTTCCCTTCCCCCAGTAAAGGTGCAAACCAAACCAGTTCACCTGAGAAAGCCCACGAATCCATGGCCAATGAGAAAAACCCACCTAACTCAGAGTTAGAATGTCCACAAAAAACCCAGCCTTCACCTGAGCAGCGAGCTACTGGCTTCCGGGCTCTGCTGCACTTCTCTAGCTGTAGCCTTTCCTTTCTCTCTAATAAATCCTACTTTATACACCAGCTTTGACTCATCATTCAGCTGCCTCACAAGTCAGTTCCCTGGCCTGTGAAGGCAAGGACCCTGACACTGGCACATAACACTTACTTTATTACACCTGATCAGATCTCTAAAGAAAAGAATGACAGGAATGCAAAGAACACAGAACCTCCACTTGATATACCCTTCCAGCGCTGAAGTTCTACATAAACAGTGTTTCTGCCGTAACTATTTATTAAATGCCTATTTTATCCATGATTCTATATGTTACATACCAAAAATACAGAGATGATAGAAAGACAGACCCAGTCTTCATGGAGTTCAATGTCATTAAACAAGATAATTAAGATCCTCTGACATAGAACAAGAAAATACAAACAAAATGTACTCATAACTTGCAGTAAGTGCAAAGAAGGTAAAGCGCCAGGTACTGGTGGATACCAATTTACTCTATGTGGAGGGGCCAGAAGAAGCAATGCTGAGAAATAACATTTAAGTTGCAATCTGATGAATAAAGAGTCAGGTAAAGAATGGGAGTGGGAGGTAAGGCCCAGGCAACAGCCTATGTAAAAACAGTGAGGAAGAGAAAGGCAAACAGAGAACAATGTTTCTGAAATGTGGAGAATAAGAAATAGTGTGGGAGATGAGGCTGAAGAGACAGAAAAGATAAGGACCAGATGAGGCAAGATTCTATGAAGGATTTGGGATTTAAGACTCCGTGGGGTGGGAGGCAATTATCTGGTTTCTATGTGATGGCTAGAGGGGCAAGAGCAGAAGCTAAAGACCAGTGAGAAGAGTATTCTGGAAACTTAGAAGAGTTATAATAGTGGTTGATAATACTTCAAAAATAAACTCAATGGTACTTGGTAACAGATTAGATGGGAGAGAGTGATAGATCAAAGAAGAGTCCCATATTTTTGGCATGAATAATTACTAAAATGGGAATAAGTGGATATGGAAGGTGTGAAAGAAGAGCTCAACAGTTCAGATTTAGACATCTGAGATTACTCAAAGGGAATGTGTAATAGGCATTTGGTTCTGAAGTTTAAAGGAGACATCTGGGTCAACAGCACAGAAATATTCCAAGCCAAGGCTTGGGATGAGAGAGTCTCAGAACGCTGTTTAAAACTTGCTTTAGTGGCTGGTCATGGTGGGGCATTATCTGTAATCCCAGTACTTGGGAGGCTGAGGCAGGAGGATCAAGAGTTGGAGGGCAGCCTGGGCTCCATGGTAAGACCCTGTCTTACCTCCTCCCCCAATCAAAAGATCATTATGGAAATCTAAAATATATTCACAGATGCTCTGCTATGCCCTTGAAAATGTAAAGCCTAATTCGCTCCCTGGAATGTGACTCATTTCTAATAAATATAATAAGATGAAAACAACAGTGTGACTTTTGCAACTAGGTCCTAAGAAGCACTCCAACTTGTTCCTTGCTCTCTATGCCCACTCACTTGAGGGAAGCAGCAGCCAAGTCCTAAGGACAGTCAAGTAGCCTTACAGAAGTCCACGTGGCAAGGAACTGAGGCCTCCTGTCAAAAGCCACTTGAGTAAGCGACCTGGGAAGTGGATCCTTCAGGCCTGGGGAACCTCAGGTGATTGTAGCTTTTGAGACATCTCACTCACAATTTCATGAGAACCCTAAACTAGACTCACCCTGCCCCTGGTGAACTCTTGACACTTAGGAAATGCATGCCGTAACAAATATGAATTTTTTAAGCCACTAAATTTTGGGGCAAATTGTTGGGCATTAATAGATAACTAATGTCATTGTTAGGAGAAATATGTAGAAATAACAGAAGCTGAAGGGTAAATGAGGAGAGAAGTATGAAAAACAATCGGTTCAGAAAACAGTAAAAATAATAGCAGGTCAAAATGCCCAGAGATGTAACTGAAAAATAGTAGCCCCAAAGCATGCTTTCTGTTTTTAAACTATTTCAGTAAGACTTACTTTGGAGGGAAAAAAAACTTTCCCCAGATCTGTACCTCATACACTGCTGTATTTTCCCCCTTCAAGTTACAGATTCCATAAAAAATGACAACAATTTTGTGCTCTAGTTAGAGGCACTTTTCATATGATATCCTAAGGAGCAATATTAAGAGAGTGAATATGGTGTCAGTCTACCTGGTTTCAAGTGTCAGCTCTAGTATTTACTTGCTTGTGACTTTGGGGAAGTCACTTAAGCTATCGAGGCTTCAGTTTCCTTAGACACAAAATGGCGGTGACGTTACTAACTCAGATGAGTTCGCACCTTGCATCTCTGTACAACAACCACCTTCAATAAATAGCAGATGTCAGTTACTGCTGTGAT